CCCTCTCTCTCTCTCCCTCTCTCTCCCCCTCTCTCTCTCTCTCTCTCTCTCTCCCTCTCTCTCCCTCTCTCCCTCTCTCTCTCTCCCTCTCTCTCTCTCCCTCTCTCTCTCTCTCTCTCTCTCTCTTTCCCTCTATACGTGACTTTAAAGAAGTATCGTCCTATGTAGCATTCGCAATTCGAGAAAGCTGCAATTTTACTTGTACTTTCTTTTTTTTTTCCTTATCCTTTTCCCCCCAGTCGTTCTTTCCATCAAATTTACCCTGTCATCTTCTTAGCAAGCTCAATGTTGTATTACATTATATGCTTTAGGAAGACTGCTTGTACTGTACTTTTTTTTTATTTTTCCATACAAATAAAGTGGCAGAAAATATATTTAGGTTGTGCAGCCTACTGTCAAACAATTAAAAAAGATTTAAAAATTAAAAGTATACAATAATTTCAGGTTTAGCCTACTCTTAGATGCCAGTTCTCAGTTTACTATAGTCTTATGTCCAGTTTGGTTGGTAAATATTTCAATAATGAAAGTTAAAACTTGATTATAAACATTAACAAATTGGGGGATGTAAATGTAGCTTTCGTTCGTCACAAACCTTTATGTATTAAGTTTACTCCTTTGTTTAATCGTAGCCGCAGCTACGATCAAGGTTGGGCGTCCTTAGCCCATTTTCGCACATTTAAGATATTTTAAAATAAAATGATTTTCCCCTGGCTAAATGGAAAAGGAAAGGCCTATTGCTTGTAGAGCGTTGCCACTGGCAAGAATTTGAGTTTTGAGCACATAGGCGGGATTCCCTATTTCGGTGCGCATAAAATACGTGCGCTTCTTGTTATTGAAGGTAAAGATTTGTATATAACATTTTAGTAAATAACTTTTTGCCAAAGCAGCGGTAGTAAGGCCATCCATGTGGATATTTAACTTTAAGCTCCCTTTAGGGCCAGATTTACCATAAGGCAGCGTCCATTAGTTACGCCAACAAAATAGAAAAAGGGGGGGGGGGTGGAAATGCTTGACAGTTGTTGATAAGGTGGGAGGGAGGGGGGTAGCTTAGTTGACGTCAACAATCACATTTTCTCTATTAAAATTTTAATCTTAAAAATTGACTGGTTATTACATTTTTTTTTTTAATTTATAAGTGTAAATAGTCATTTAATTTTTAGGCTTTTATTATTAACAATATAAGATTTATTTAATGAGTGTCTGTGCACTGCAGATGGAAGGTCAGAATGTTAGCACACTTTTTTTGTGAAAGAGAAGTTAAACGTTGGCCTCTCTTCGCCTGAAGATTCTGTTGCAGATATGGAACAAGGACAAAGGTTCAAGTGCAGTATTTCTTTCAGCAATTTTCCCCCCGGGGGGCGCTTCAGATTTTTCGGGGGGGGTGTTAACATGGTAATGATGGCTACGGATAACACATGTAGCTAACTGAAAGAAACCCTGTTCATGTGCAGTCAAGATAAATGGTATTGATGGAGTAGGTAGACGATACTTTGAGAATAAGGTGAATGTAAAGTGAGTAACAATAATGACATCGCTGCTTGAACGGATTTGCAAAATCTGTAACATCTATTTTGCATCACAAGTCATGTTGAAAAAGCATTTTCAACAGCACTGACAATGCCCTCTTGAGCTTAAGAAATAATTAGCACCTGCTCCTCAACAAAAAAGGATTCGACCATAGCAAGGAGATAGAGAGAGCTTATGACAATTATTGCTCACTCCAGCAATGCTTCTATTTTAAGTGCTGAAAGGTTAGATGAGGACGATGTTGACTTGTCTGGTATATCAGTGCCGCAAGATGAAAATGATCAGTTGCTATAGACTATGCCAAACAGCGGCGTCATTTCAGGTTTTTTTCAGGGGAAGGGAGATGGGCAAAACCAAAACTTGGTTGGCTTGTTAAGTTGTTCATTACTGGAGGCGCCACATTAAATTGCAATTTAAATAAAACCAGCAAAATTGAGGGGGGGGGCAAATGCCCCCCTGCCCTACCCAACTGATATCCCTGATGCCCATTTTTGCGATAAAGCAAAACCTGACTACTCCTTGGGAAGATGATGGCAGCTAGAAACTATGCTATATAGTTGTCAGCTTTACTGATAATAATCATATTTATAACACAATGATATTTAGTCTTCAACAACTTTTCATTGGATTCTGCATTATAAAATTTAAGTGTACAAACTTTTTAACTTGTTGATCAACAAGCTAAACATGTAATGAAATGTTTTTCTTACAATTTGTGTCATTAAAATAGATCAGCACAAAGTAAAATGTATTTATAAATGTATTTATAATATGATTCCTTTTTTATTTTATTTATTTACTTTTGGGAGTTGGGTTAGAAAATGTTGACGTAAATAAATGGGGGTGGGGGGTGATCATTGAAAGTTTGACAGTTGTTGACAAGAAATTGGGGGGGGGGGTCAAAAATTGCCTAAAAATTGTTGACGTAATTAATGGACCCTAACGACCCCTAAAGGTCAGCCGAGGTCAAGGCCTAGGGCACAACCAGTATATACAGAAGAAAAAAGAACCGAATATTTAAATATTTTTCAGGACTATTTTGAAAAGGCCACATCAAATGCTGTACTGGTGTAGCCTATATTTGATTTTAAAATTTTTTGTGGTTAAAAAAATGATAAGATTTTAGGCCTATTAAGTGATTATGTTTTTAAAATAAATTTTTATGTTGTTATTGGAGGCTATAATTACTTTTTTTTAAAAAAGGGGTTAGGGGATAGCTCATTTGATAGAAGATGAAATACGAAAGCGGACATGAACACATGTCCTTTTTTGCAAGAGGCAAATGTCACATTGATTATACTTTGCGATTCACTTTAAATATTTTTAATAAAATTAAATAAGTCTAATATTTTCTATCCCTCGCTTCTGTCGAGGAAACGCGTTGATTAAAAAATTACTTTGAGATTTGTGTTGAGAAGAAAACGTAAGAAGGATTGGTGTGGATGTTTGACCCACTTTTTCTCTGGAAAGTAATGCCTACCCTGATACACGTAAACAGCAGAGAAGCTAAAGTTTGTGACGCCCGGGGCGATCCGCGTTTTTGCCACACCTCACTCACAAAACTACAAAATATAAAGAATACATAACCCATTTTTAATGTATGCAGTCGGCTGAAAATTCCGTCCTTAAAAATTATCATCTTGGGCGGACCCCCCCCCCTCCTTTTTCCATCTTCATACCCCTGTGCAAGTAGGCTAGACATATTTTTTTAATGATTGTCGCAAATGGGATGGGTGTTTCCATTGTAGTTCAGGTAGGGACCTAAATTTAATATGACAGTTAAATACTATTAAGTACGCGCTATTTATTGGAACAAATGTTGGCAGAGTCTCATTGAATCATTTTATGCTTTGATTGTCAGGTGTTCCTTCTGAAAAGTTTTCTCGTCATAAGCGTTTTCTTCATATCTGTAATAAATTAATGGCTTAGCAAATAAGCTAAATTTGATTTTTTGTTTTTAATGTTTTGTATTTTGTGGAAAAAATGTCCCTTTCTATTAAGAATTTGATAATAATTTTAGAATCGGACATGAACAGACCCCGAAAAACTCACTTTAAAATAAAACCCAACATTTTAAAGCATTCCCCTCTATATTTTTATTTTGTCAATTAGACTTTCATGATTAATGCGCATGTACAGAATTTGGCTTCCCAGGTTTCAAAATGGCGGAACATTGGCTACTCACAACATAGAAATAACAATAATCACTCAATAAGCTTAGTTGATCTTTTTAAATCTCCACATAACATCATTATTTAATAAAAGCAATGCGTTATTAATACTCTTAAAGGTAATTAAAAACTTTAAAAGTACATTTGAGTAAACTTAGTCTTTTCAGAACTTTAATGAATGTCTGTAACTTAAAAAAAATTAGTTAGATAGGCCTATATAATATATATATATTATATATATTATATGATATTGACAAGAAGGCCTATGCCTATACGATAAGCATAAGTATAAGCAAAATTAAAAAATATATCAATATAATATTGATATATTTTGAATTTTGCTTATACTATAGGCCTACTTATAATTTTTTTTTAAATATGTCAAACCATACCTAACTCTCTAGATGGTAGACCAGGGATCCAGGGCTCAAATCCTCAGGAACAATGGGGAACTGATTTTCTGTAACTTTTCCATATAATAATAATAATTGTATTTGCTAAGAAATAAATACATACAGTCGTATGTGCCAAAAGTAACATATAGTAACTCCCACGTCTGGAATGTGTACGTGTGTTGTTCAATGATCCATAGCTTCAGCCAGTTCAGCAGCCATGAGTTCCAAGAAGTCAGAAAGATTATATGTTGAGCTGTTTTTGTTGCAAATGGAGGAAAGAATATTCATATTTTAGCATTATTTTGGCTTTTACTTGTACCTAAATTATTAAGTGATTGTTAAGCGGTACTATGTTTTAAAAAAAAGTTGCAGAACTATTCCAAGACAGATTTAATAAGATTGCACAGGAATGCTGTCTATTTTTATGAAATTTTGCTGTTATGAAAATGTATTGTGTCAATGGACAAGGAAGTCTGATATACCAGTGTGTTTTTCATAATGAGAATCATGCCTGTGTTCTCCAGAAAGTGCTGCGTTCCCACCTATGAAGTGTAAGAGGAACATCCTGCAAATTGAAAATCAGCAATAGGTAGATTCATTGATTGGTTAAGGACATTGGTGCATTTTTATACCGCAGTCATATTGAACAAGGTTTGGCGGAGCCAGATATGCAAGCCATGAACATGTATTGTGGTCAAGTTGCACAAAGATCCAAATTGTTACAGTAATGAGTAGCTCTCCAATGAAAGTTAACTTTCATTGACTTGTTAACAGGTCAATCCGAATTTCCCTTCTGTTGACAGAGTCCATAACTGTGTTGCTCGGTGTCTTTTTTATTTTATCTCTCTCAGAATTTATTTTTCTTCCACCTTTATTTTTTAAACATGATCCCCCTAACCCATGAGCAAATATATTGCTCAACCTTGCATACTTTTTCCCATATTGGCCATAGCCAACAAAAACCGACCAACACATCTTAGGTTATGTGACAGCTGGACCTATGCACCATTGACAAATGCAAGGATTTATTGAAAATGCTGGAGTTTCAGTACTGGTACTACTAATTTAGGAGCATGTTGTATTAAATTTGGAAGGGGGCAGTTTAATTGAGGGTGGGGGGTTTTGAGTTATTGTAATAGCAATGAATGACACACACTCTTCTGTGTTCGGTGTAACAACTGAACTTTATTCTACATTATACAACCTTTTTATACCTCCACATTCATGATCACTCATTCTACTTTTCCACGCATTTAAGTTTAAAACATTCATGAATAAAAACAACTCAAGACGACCAGTCATACCACATAACAACAACACAGGCAAATCAGGTCACAAACTTCACTCACTACTCACAATAATAATCGTCAGTCATACTGTCACAGTTATTTCCCACACATTTTTTTCTCAGACCTTGATCCCTGTTTTAGATGAAAATCTAGATGGTTTTTAAAGGAATAAAGTTTTTAAAGGAATAATGCTATTGTTTTTTTAAGGAAAACCAAATTAAGTATTTGCTATAATTCATTTTCCTCCCTCTATTTTTTGTCTTTAAGTAATTTTGCTAGTGTTTACAAATGACATAGCAATCACCAAATAATACCAAATAACATTGGTCATTATCTTTTTTTTGCGGCTGTCAAGTCTTCAGTAGCTTCATATGACATTTTGAATTTTAGATATTTTTTTAATTAAGTAAAATTAAAATGTTCAGTTGCTCTCTTTATTCTTATCAGCACTTATGTCTATTTTAGATTTTAATATGACAATGAATAGCTTCTCTATTAAAAGAAAACAACATCTGATTGCATGCTTTTTTATATTTTTCATTTTTTTTCTTCCCAGATAGCCATTTGATATAGGGGAAAAATCTAACAGCTTAAGAAAATCATGTACAACAAAACAAAGATGAGGATTACAGAAATCCAAGGAGTTAGTTTTATTTATTAAGTCCAACTTCTATTAAAATACCAGTAGTGTTATTATAAATGTTTTAAAATTTCAAATGAACCCTATGGGTGGAAAATATTTTGCCTCTCTATATATTTTTTTATTAACATGTAAATATTGAGCAACAGAGAATCATTTTAATGAAAGAATTTTCAAAGAAAAACAACAATAAATTGTATTAATTAATTAATTATTTTTGTATGCTGGTCTCTGTGCCTGTTGTCATCTGTAACTAGGCTTTCACTATGACAATTTAGTGCACACCAAAATTATTTTACCTTATATACTCATTCTCAAGCCAACAATTTTGGAAATATTTCAGGAGAAATAATCATACCCATTTCATCTAAATCTTGGTTATATAAACTCTAATATTTTTTTTTCATCTAGAGGGACAATGAATTAGCTGGTGGAGATAACAATGCTTTCAAACCAACTCCTGTTAGTGAGAGTAAAGCAATGAAAAGATTTCCTCATCAACAGCTTGGTGATTTTCAGCTTAATACTTTTGCAGGTAGTCTTATGACTTTTAAAAATTTCATGTTCCTTGCCGGAAATGCCCTTATTTACTTCAATTTCTAGCTATCACCACCATTCTTAAAAACTAACAAATGTTTTAATAATCTTAAAATTCATCCTTTTCACCCTCTTTGAATCTAATGCCTTTTCTTTATCAATTTTATATGTGCCAAAATATATTAATTGCTTTTTCACAAAAATGCTCTCAACCATATTACTTTTTTTGTTGCACAGCTAACATTCAACATTTTAATTACATTTATTAAAAAGATAGTCTGTGTCTCTTTTTATTTAAACTTAAACACATTTCATTAATCACTTCAGAAATTCAACTTGCATAATTTTCCAAAGTATATTTTTCTACAAGCATTTCAGCTGTTGCAAAATAATTAATAAGATCTAATTTAGATAATAAGTGCACATTTGTACTTATAAAATTTCTAAAAAATCACTAGCTATTGCAAAAACAACCTTGTCTTGACAAATCATAGTTGTCAGCACAAAAATAAATAAAAGACAATTTTGTTTTAAAAAATCACTTCCATGGAATTATTTGTTCACACCTAGCCTTGACTGCTGTTCAGGGGAAGGGTGCTTGGAACCCAGTGAAAGTATTATCCTAGACCTTGTTTTTTTTAGGGTCCATAAAAAATATATGCCCAAAAAATGGATAAAAACATTCAGACCCAAATGGCCATGTTTGTTGTATTTTTAAGTGGGGACTTTTCTTTCCCAGGACTTGTAAATTTCTCTCTGCAGCTCAACACTTGGTAAAATATTATCTCAAACTATTTTGTGCTTGCCAATATTGTGGCCAACTATTCAAATAATTTTTTTTTAAATATGACATACCTTTTGGTCTGTTTGACTAAGCAATTTAGCATGTCTTATTTGTTTCTTACAAATATATGGCGTTTATAATAAAGGAGTTATCCGATTTAATGACTGTGTCCAATTTCCTGCAACTGCTGCTTTGGATTTCTTGATTTTGACAAAGCCACCCAGTTCCTTTTTTGCTCCCCACTCGACGTGGGCTCTAAGGTTCTTGGGCTAACATATTCCAAACATACAGAGCAAGACATTATTTATAATATTAGTTTATTGTTAGAATTTAACTTTAGATTCATCTGAATCACACTATATTCCAAAATTCCACAAAAAATGAAAAAATAAATCCTCATCACACCTCTTTTAGAACAAATTCAATCCATTTTTGTGTTTGTGGTTTTTTTTTAACTTCAGCAACTTTTTTTGAGATGATATTCATTATTAGATATGTCAAGATTTTTTTAGCCTATCATTTCTTTATTAGTCTCTTACTAAAAGGTATCAACCATCTTCATAGCTCACACAAGGAAGTGTTGTATTTTCTATTTTAGATTTAAAATTTCAATACTCTTCAGTACATATAACTATAATCAAATAAAAAATAACTACAATTGTTATAAAGATTAGAATTTCAACTCTTCTCAGGAAATTACCACAGTGTTTATGATAGTAAGTTGATGATTTCTTTTAAAAAACATTTAAGTTCAAATTTCAAGCAAAGAAATTTGTCATATTTCTGTTAGTTTCAATTATTTTCTTCAAAAAATGTAATAATTTATTAATTAAAGCTACATATTTTCTAGGACTTTGTAATAGAATTGAATAAAGGGGCCATCAGTAAATGATGTCGTGCATCTAGGGGGAGGGAGGTCACATGCTAGTAATGATATGTGATGAGAGGGAGGGCAAGTTAAAGCAATTTAATGTCTCATAAAAAGCGGAACTTAGTTGAAACAACTTCTAATGAGCTAAAGTAATTTTTACCTAATTTTATTTATACACCAATTTTAATTATTAAATCTTCATTTCTTATGTTTGTGAATGTTTGATTTTTGATTGCTTATGTATGATTCAAACTTTTCATTTTTAAACTACAATCAACTCTGATTGTTACTGAGTGAATAATTACTGTGTAGAACTAGTGCACATATAATATGTGATATCCAAAAATGCTCTTACTCCTGTCAAATTGGTCTTTGAATATCAAGTTTCAGGACGGCATGGATGACGAGAGTGGAAGGTGCACTGCCATTGACAGTCATGATAAATTATGTAAAAAATGTGGAAGACTGGCATCTGGGAATTGGGAGTCTGCAAAGGGGGTTAAGGAAAGAAAAATAATTGACAATGGAAAATAATCTCAGTAGGAAAATTTTCTTATACAGATGCAGTAATTCCATATCTATGAGATAAGAAGCTTTTAGAGTTTGTTAACTAAAATGTTAAAATCAAGACAGTAGGGACAGTGAATTTCTTAACAGAACTAAGTGACACACATATTCTGATGGGGGTTGAGCTTACGCTCTTAAAACCTCTGGCTAGTACATGGGCAACCAGCTCCCTCTGATTGGATGTGCCGTATAACATTAGTTGTACTAACCTAATTTGTTAGAATCAGGTCTGGACTCTCTCACTTTACCCTCTCCTGGAAAGAGGTGCTGTAACAGCTCTCACATTCTTGACAGAACTACATGGACCTATTGAAGCACTATTAAATTTAAAGCTGAAAACCGACCAGTCATTATTTTGTAAGAATTGTAAAAAATTTGTTTTTAATTTTTGTGGATTAGAGGACAATTGGAACAGCTAGTAGCACTCAACAAAAATTAAATAAGATCATGTAATAGATTGCAAAGCAAAAATAAATTATACTTACTACAATGAAAACAAAAATTGATGTGAAACATTTAATTTATAATTTTTAAAGGATTTTTTTGGAGGGGGGGGGAGGGAGAGAAGAGGAGAGAGATTTTTTGGTATGCAATATTTTAGGAGGGAGGGGGGTGGGTGGGGTTCTAACTTTGAGTGACATTTGTGAGATTAAATAAATTATACTTACTACAATGAAAACAAAAATTGATGTGAAACATTTAATTATAATTTTTAAAGGATTTTTTTGGAGGGGGGGGGGAGGGAGAGAAGAGGAGAGAGATTTTTTGGTATGCAATATTTTAGGAGGGAGGGGGGTGGGTGGGGTTCTAACTTTGAGTGACATTTGTGCCAAAATGGGAATTGGGGGGAGTGAGGGTGTCAAAAAATCTGCCAAAATAGAATGATTTTATTTATGGATGGCCCCCCCCCAAGTTTAAAAATCTTTATGAACAAATAGTCATTAAGATTTTAATGTTAGCATTTTAAAAATAATCACTTTTTAGTATCATTTTTAGCTGCTATTTTGTTCTAAGTTGAGCTTCATTTAGAACGTTTAAAAGTATTTTGTTTTAACAAGCTCGCTTTAGACTTAATGAAATCAAATCATGTCATTAATTCAATAGAAGGGAAAATCCAAGACATAACTTTCTAGTGTTACCTCAAAATGAAACAGCTTAAAATTTTAGATATTATACCTAAACTTAATAACCCTGTTTTTTTGTCAAAATGAGTGCATTAGCTAGATCATGAGGTAAAAGCTAATGCTTGTGTGATACTAAAAGTGCGTTTGTGCTAATTGTCCCATCCTTTTGAAATCATATCAGTGTTTTATCATTTTAAATTTCTGTATGTTTAACCATCATTTTTTGTCTTTAAAAATCCTAACTAAAATAATAAAATTATATAAAAAAAGCTAATTATCCTTTCATCACAAGCCAACTAAGCATGTACCACAAATATATGGCCCAATTTTCTTAATTCATATAATTTTTTAATACAATTTCTCCATTTTTTTGTTTTTTATTGTTTTTTTTTTGTTCTTTAATTATCTTATTAAGCTTTTGGCCAGCACATGATATTTATACTTTTTCAGAGGTTTTACACCAAGTCCAGTTTAACTTTGGTATGCTGGAATTGCCTTTACCTCTCTTAAAGTCTTTACTCTGCTAGCACATCCCTGATTTTGTTCTGTTTACTTACCCCAGAATACACTGATCTCCATGAGTATTAATAATAATAGCATTCAGGAAGAATAATAATAGCATTCAGGAAGTTACAATTCTGTTCTTATAGCTATTTTATCAAAGTGGTTTAGTTGAGAGTAAAAAAACTATTTATTTAATCTTTTTATTCCAGCAAGTGACATTCATATTGAAAAGGCAACCTTCTCTTTATAGAATCTAAATTTAAATTAAGTTACTTGAAGATATGTTAGATAAAAAAATATATATATAATATTAAGGCATAAAAAAAATGTCACAAACCCACACAATTAGTTAACATTGCACAGTTTTATATAATTGTAAAATAATGAATACAGTAATTGATATATTGATTGCTTTTTATCTTTAAGAAAGATTCCTTTCTATGTTACCTTTGTTCCCCAAGTTCTGCTCTCTCCCCACTATGTATAAATTGAAAAAATCTATACCTCCTCTTATGGGATAGCTTAGCAGCTTTATAAGTAAAATAGTAAATATTCCGAATCAGTAGAGAAATGTCTAAAGGCTTTTACCTTTATATCTAATTATGTAATTCTTGACAGGTTTGTGATTTAAAAGATCTAAAAACTGGCTTTCCCTTTTGTTTACCCCCATCAAAGAAAAAATATACAAATAAATATTTTAATTGACACTCTAGCAGAATAAGTATCTTAATATTTTCTTAAAAATGAAATGATATAGATATTTAAAAACATGTATTGTCAGGTTCATTAAATAATGGCATATCTTGTTTATAAATTAAATTTATGTATTATTATAATTTGTTTTAAAGTTAGAGAATTCTTTTAATGTGACTAATATTATGTAATTCCCATAATTTTTTTTTATTGCCAAGGATATTATTAGTCTCTCATTTTCTTGTATGTGTCTTTAATAGTATACATACTTATGGCCGGATATCTGCTCATCTAATCATTTTACCCCTGCTTCATCTCCTACTCCCACACCTTCTAATCATAGTTGTCAATGTTCTGTTTTGCTTTTTTTAGCTTTCAATAGCTGTTAGTTACAGTCTCATATAATACTAATCAAATTTCTCTGAGTTATCAACTTATCAACCATTGTTGGTCTGGACAAGGGATAGGGAACAATTTCTTTTTTGGAGGCCACATTTATTCATCTTTAATCCCATAAGACCTTTTTCAATTCACTTCAGTTAAATATACATTAAAATAATGTGCCATTGCTGACACTGAACCGAGTACTGGATATAATTAGTATAATTATAAGTCCACAATGCCGGACTATGCTTTAGTAATCTTGTCTAAGTATATTATACATTTTAAATATGTAAATAAAATACAGTGGGGCCTTAGAACCTGAACTTAATCTGTTCTAAAACCCCGAAAATAAAAGGATTTGTTCCGTTAAATTGTATTTGGTCAAAAGGCCACATTTGGAGGCCTAGAAGCCTGCAGGTTCCCCAGCCTTGGCCTGGACCATAATCTAAAAGGTGTACTTAAATCCCCTGCAATTCTTGGGCAGCCTCCATCCTCATCCTCCCAAAATCTTGCCATGTTTACAATAAATAGTAACATGTTAAACTGGTTATCAGGTCAGACATTAAAGCTTTATGAACATCATAAAAATAATAATATCAGGCTAAAAGGTACATGCCCGAAATTTCCTCTGCATCAGGTTGATGATAACATCATAATAAAATAAAATTAATATTAAATATAGTTTTTTACGTTATGTATGACTATTGTTTATGATGAACATTATTTTACTAATAAATTAGAAGATGTAATAATACTCTTTAAAATATTATCTATAATATGTGCATGCTTATTTATATATGTTAAATGTTTGATCCATTGAAGACATACTTGATTTTAGACCTGCTGGATTAAATTAAAATACTTTGTAATTGTAAAACACAAAAAATAAATTTAGTTGCCTTGGCCTACATATTAAACTTTACTTGGTTTTTGCCTGAAGCACTGTTCTAAAATGTGTTGGTTTTTTTACCTTAATATATTTTGAAACAATACAGGCTTGTATAATGAGAATGACATCGTTCAAAAACTTAACTTACAAATTGTTTTATAGCCTCTAATCGAATTATCTTTGCTTTCTCTTGTTTTTAACTCTACCAAGTGTGCACTTTAATTGTAAGTTAGAACTGAACAGGTTTGGTCAAAATTTTTTAATTAATCAATTGAAACACAGCACATGCCAATATCAGTTGTGCTTTCATTAATCCTTGTAGATCAGAGGATCATGTCATGCCAACTTTTATTGTTGTGTTAATCTTAGACATTTATCAGCTTAGTCTCAGCTATCTGAAGATTAGCTTAGAACTTTCATTATTAGTTCTGGATTTCTATCTTGGTCATGCATGTGCTATTCATTTTGTGTGCCTTTAAATTAACATACATTTGAGAAAATTTAGCTTTCAGTGTTTTATTGTGCAAATAAGATTGAAGAATGCACAAGTTTTGCGGTTCTTTTTGTTAATTAAAATGGGACACAATACAGTGTCCAGGAAAGACAATGTTGCTATAAATAATTTGTTCAGCTGATGCTATAGGACTTAAATATATTTTTGGATGAAATGTTCTGAAAGGAAGATATTTATTAAACACTGAATGTTATGATACCTTGCATTTTTCTATCCCCTGCTTCATTGTCTGGTGGTAGGTCTTCTGTGAAAAAGTTGAAACTAATTTTTGTTGACCTGTTGTGAAATATAATATTAGTCATTGTTAATTATTTCTCTATTACTCTATTTATTTTAAATATTTTGGATAAAATGAATAAATAGTATATGCTGTGACTGACATACTAAATAAATAAATGGGTGTTTTTCTTGTTAATTGCTAATTTATAATTGTAACAATTATTTAAAAGAATAGGAAGATTTTTAAAATAAATTTGTAAAGCTGTTTTGAAATGTGAAATAATAAAATTTTCTTACTACTGTTCATGAACAACAGAGATGTTCAAGATTCAATAATTTATAAGGCGGTCACCCCAGCAACTTAAAAATATTAAAAAGTTATTAAAACCTTTTTCCCTTTACTAGGAACCACTTGCCACCAGAACCATGCCTTCTATTTCTATTCCTTTTTCTTGTATTTTTTTAAATATTACAATTTATCAACTATGCATGTATTCAACTAATTGTAACATATCAATAAATAATCAAAATAATTTATTTTCCATAACACTTATTTACATGTTGTTAGTCTTGCTAATTTTATTTTCACTTCTAGAGAAGATCCCCATTCATTATCGCAGCAAGAAGAAACCTGTAACACCAATAACTTCTTATGGCCATGACCAGGGGCATCTAACAGAAGAGGATGAGATTGGAACATTTCCAGTTAGAGAAACCAGTTCAGGAAGCTCACATAGTTATGGGCACACCACACCAAAGCCTCAGAAAAATTCTGCATTCCTTCCTGGTATGGAGAATTCTCTGGTTGTGCTCTTATCTGCTCAGTATGAATAATATTGCTAATTAAACAATACTTAGAGGGTTAAGTTATATGCTGCCAGTCTTTGTTTGCTGTTATTTGGTTTTAATGTGTTTTTTTTATATTAATCATTTTATTTATTTAATTAAGGGAGTCTTTTAGGAGATTGAAATGATTATATTTCATTTTAATTAACTGATTTTTAACACCTTCTATTTAACATAACTCATTAAAATATGCATTAGTAGAATATTCATTTATTTAGAGGGCATAAATAGAAGTTAATTGCTTTGCTTCCCCTTAAAAAAAACCACCTGTATGTTTTCACACCTTTCACACCTGTATGTTTTCACACCAATTTGTAAATATTTTTCTCTTTTTTAAAAAAATGTATACTAATAGTACTTTAACATATATATTCTAGTCTGTTGGATAATTTTTAAAAATATTTTAAATTGTCTGTCTCAATAAATTTAACCACCTTTACTTACGAAGTCAGAAACACTTATTATTTAAATATTTTAAGCCAAATACAAAGTTTTAGAATCATTTGAAGTCATGATTTTGAGGAGCCATAGTGCAGAACAGTATTTATATTTGTATTAATGAACCCTATGCAGGATTCTACTACTTGGTGCTCAAAAGCAACAGTCAGCTCTTCAGTTTTTTAATTGCTCAGATCTGTAATTCTCCTGAGATTGATGAAATATTTCATATATTTACAAAGCTATTTCCCGTCAGTTGTAACTCTCTAATTATTATATTACATTATTTATAATAATTGTATAAATGACAACATTGTTAATCAATTATTATTTATACCAATTTTAAGTGTTTTGTTTTTATCTGAGCAGAATCTTTTTAAAAAAGATTTCTTACTTTTCCAACATCTGGAAGTTCAAGAGTAGGCCTTATCACAAAAAAAAAGGATCATGAGCCAATAAATTATTGATACTTACAGGGGATATTTCCATTCATTGTTTGAAGTCACTAATCACAACAGGTGTGTTAGAATATTTATTTGTATTTTTATCAATATAATTTTTAGATATTTTGCAATATTATTTTTTTTAAATTAAGAATATACTTATTTCAATTACTTTTAGGTGACAGTGTAATTTTTGCTGAAAATCCCACAGCTCCTGGCGTTCCTGTTGTGTACAGAACGCCTGAGGAAAGAGCATCAAACCCTGACAGATTGAATCTGGACAGGTCAGTTGGCCTTGATTTTACTTAGTGTCAGAGCAAACCTTTCATTCTATTTCTGAACAATAATTAACACATGCCGACAAAAAAAAAAGCTTTTTTCTTGGTGTCTTGAGTTTTGGGTCTGTTCCTAAGTGCAATTTGCAGCATTTATTCTGAAAATTGCATCAAATTTATCAGAATAGCTCCAGTTTTTTAGATAGTGTTGAATTTATAATAACTTAGTTTTCTCTATATACTCATTGCAAGGTCAATTTTGCCAATCATTTTGCGATATCATTAAAAAATTTAACGGATATTTAAATGAAAAATATATGTATTTATGTTACCATTAGTTTGTTTGTGTATACAGATATTTTTTCACTTTATTTTTATAATACGCATTTCCCTAAAATTGATAAGTGCAAGGGACAAACTGGACTTTGTCCTGCTCTATTAAATAATTATGGGCAAAATATTTAGATGTCTAAGAATGATCTTAGACTGCATAAATTTTAATTTCTAAAGATTTCCAGCCTGATCTTTCTTACACAGCTGGATGTAGATTTTATTTTCAGCATGTAGAAAATCTGTAGTGAGTTTGAAAAATAAGTACATATATATTATTTGGTGCCAAGATTAGAGTTCAAGAGAAGCCATGGGCTCCACATATTGTATGCCAAACGTGTTAGGAGATATTTATCCAGTCTACAAATGCTTGCTTCTGTGATGAAACGAAACTAAACATTAAAATTCCGATACAAAGAACGCACACACCCCCCCAACACCCCCCCCCCTACTTTTTTTTTTTGGGTGTGTTTTAGTATGAGTTATTCCTCCTGTTGTTATTGCCTTAGTTGGCACACTGAGCTTGATGAACCATGTGTAAAATGTGCGTAAAAATCCCACCCACTATGCCATAAATGAGATAACTCATGGAAAATTTTGATCACACTTATAAAATTTACTTTTTTGGTCTTGATCAAATGCATGATTGAGTTGAGCCAATGATAAATTATATAACCCTAATCATATATATCATGGTAGAATAAAGAAACGATCTTCCTAGATCATCACGCTATAGTGACCACATAGTTACTTAGTGAGACGGAAGTCAGCTAATCTAACCTAGTGAGTAGATCAAGCCATCGATTTCAATCATTTTATTTTAATGTATTTTAACACCATGTCTTTAAAGTTTATAGTTTTGATCATTTTGATCTCCGATCAGTCTTTTAGGAATAAATAACTACAATCATTGTGTTTGCCATTTAATATGTATATTCCCCACGCCGAACATGCATGACGATTTTTAGATTTTGTTATCTCAGAGCTTCATCCCATCTTAAAGATAGTGATGTAGTTTTAGATAATTGTTAATCCACACCACTTGTTAATAAGACATCAGGATATACTATATTAATATAAGCATTATTTTATAATAATTGTGTAATTATAATTTAGAAAATCTTTTGCATAATGTTGATTAAGCCATTTGCGCTGGATGTGGTAAGGACACACAGTGTTATCCATCCACTGGCTGTTTATGTTCAAGCTCATGCTTGTTGGAAGGGCACCTGTCATCTTATGAAAATTATAAAAGTTTGCTTCCTTCCTTTTTCTTACATCATTTCACATATATCCTGATTTTTTATATTGCTGTATTGCCGTAGTGCATAGAACCACCCCACCTTAGCAGCTAGATTGAGGATACTTCCTAATGCCAGATTCCGAAGACTCTGCCCAGTGTTTCACATCCACAAAACCAATCCGTTAGCCTGCATCAAATAGGATTGTGTGTTGCAAGAACACAGATGGTATGTCCACATGCCACAACATACAGCTAGAAAGTCTATTCTACAGTATACTGCTGTGGTGTCCACTTTCATTTCCTCTCGTTGTGCCCTGCATGATTTCTTTGGCAAGCCCTTGTTTCCTTGTCACATGGCCATACCAATGCAGTTTGCGCTTTTTTAAAGTCACCAGGAGGTCATCGTACTGCCCAATTGCCTGATGAACCCTTTCTTTCACTTGATCATTGGAGATGTAGTCTCCATAACACAGCCGTTCTCAACCTGTGGGTGGCGACCCCTTTGGGGTCGCCTAAGACCATCGGAAAACACATAGATCTGACTACTCAGATATCCTTGCTATTTAAAACTTTTGTGATATTAGAGCGCAACATGAAAATTTGGCAAGAAAAGATTGGCATTTGTGGGAAATATCGGGGTTTGAGGAAAATGTAAACAATTAAGCTTTAGTAACACAAGAAATAATCATTCTACTGCAAATATATATGTAAACACTGCCTACTTGATAAGGCAGTTTGTAAATGCTTGGAATAAAGCCTTCAATGCACATCAAATATGGGCTTATAACAAAGAACCTGAAAGCTTGAATTTTGATGATCATTAGATAAGTAAATGTATTAACTCTTGTTGTGAAAAAATTTATTGTAATCACTTAGATTGTTGTCCAGAGAACCTTAAGCAAAGAGTGAAGTGAAAGATTTCACCATTAAAAATGCATGCACTGGCAGCCAGATACCAAGGTAGAGGGAATGCGCATATAATGGAGATTTTTGTTGGAATCTTATTTTGGGGTTGACCTGGAAAATCCTACCTTATGAAGTCTAATGAAAAGACCTTCATTTGTGCAGAATTTTAATAAAAAGTCTCCAGTAAATCTGTTTCTTTGCTTTTGGTATAAAATAAGCACATTTTCATGTGGCACACTTTTCTTCAAATAATTAGTACAATGCTTTACGCTTAAAAATCAAATACAATCAATATCTCACAAACTAGAGCTGAAGGGGAAAACTGATGGCATTTTTTAGATCAAATATACCCTGACACAAGTCTAAAAATTGAGGCACCAAATTTTGTGTTGGGCAGTGTAATCATTATGATTATACGACTTTTTTTTCATTATCCTAACTTGTAGAAAAACAAAATTAATAGCATTGAAAAATAAAATTATTTTCGTAATCCATTATTGTGCACATTAAACAAAATCAGAACTTTTAAAAATTAATTTATATAAGATATATAATTCTGAAGAAAGTTTGATTTTTATGTTTCAGGAGAAAATTAACACTATGCCCAGTTTTAGAAGGAGAAGAGCAGCTGCGCTTGTTGAATTATCAACATAATTTCATAACACGAATACAGCATTTGTCATCTCTCAAGAGACTCATTTTTCTTGATCTGTATGATAATCAAATTGAGGAAATGTCTGGATTGTCTGCATTAAAATCACTTAGGGTTTTGATGCTTGGAAAAAATAGGCAAGTTTGTTTCTAATTTTGTATTAAATGTCATTTTAAGTTAGAAGCATTACACAATGTGTATTTATTAAATTTAGATGTTTGTATGTTTAAGATTTCTCTTTTTAACTTAATTATTTCTGCATAAGAAACAATTTACTGTACTTTATTGGACAAGTTGAATCTACTAACTGATTTTAATATGGAAAACTTAAGAATTATTCATTCTTGAAACTTGTTTTTTTAAATTAAATCTGAAACAAGTAGATCCTACTTATTGGCCTAGGAACCAATGATATTTTTCATTTAACTATGCATATGTGGCTTAAAACTAAGTAAAATGAAGATTAAATGTATTTAATTTATTCTGCAGTATTGGTAATGATTATCAAAAAGTAGACAAACTGTTGGATACATTTTTAAATATTTCAGTCAGTAACTAATATTATTAATTGGTGCTCAGAATTGTGTCTTACTATACTCAACTATATGTCATTTTTAAAATTTTATAAATGATGTAACACTCTAAACTGTCATATGTTTTCTGTGGTTAAAGTATGGATAATAAAGGATGTAAGTGAACACAATTAATCATTTGTGACTAATATGTATAACATTGATGTTATTTATTACAATTTAGCTCAGCAGTTTTGAGATTTCTTATGTGTGTTTGACTGATTTTTGTATTGTTTTTTCTGTACTGGATATCCACCATGGACCACTACTTTGATTCGGATATGTTTTGTGTCCCTCCTAACTTTGGACTTTTGTTGTTTTGGATTTTCTTTGTTGCAAAGGTTAGTGAGATTCACCGCCTACACGGTCGGCCATCTTTGTCGGCACCACGCTCATCGCTCGGTCAAGTCGACGTTACGGTCAGTGACACACGCAGCCCCCACGGCGGTAACCGACCTGAGCTTGCATACACACGTGATCGTCTTTTGTCAATGAATGCCAAGCGTACGCATCTGACCGCTGACCTCGTGTGTCGACTGAAAGAGCTTTTGATTGGTCGAGGCCTGCCTCGGAAGCGCACCCACCGTGGTGGTAGACGAAAACAACAACAACTTGTCACTCATTCTTTACCAAGACCTACTCTACACTACTCGGACCCTGCCAACCTCATTCACATCAAAACCTCTCCACGTTCTATCAACAAACAACTTCTCATTGCCACATTCAACGCCCAGTCGCTTGGCCCCTATGAGAAACGAATTGCAGTCTCCGAATTTGTCTCTGATAGGCAGATTGACATTCTGTTTATCCAGGAGACCTGGTTTCGGCTGACTGGCGATGAGGGGAAGTGCACCGATCTCGCTCCCTATGGCTATTCTGCCAGATCATTTCCCCGTTCAACTCGCGGCGGAGGCCTTGCTATTATATATAGAGACACGTTGTCCCATCATACAGCTTTTGTCACAGACCTCCCATTCGTCCACACGTCTTTTGAGGTAGTTCAATTTACACTGTCAGTGCCCCAGCAGACAGTTCATTTCATGTGCATATATCGCACCTTCCCTAGTAAGAAAAATAAATTGACCGACTCAGTGTTTCATCGAGAATTCCCGGATTTGATTGACCACTGCAACACATTGACCGGGACTTACATTGTACTAGGCGACATGAACTTCCATTTTGATCAACCACAGCACCCCTCCACTGCTAGGATGTTGGATCTCTTGGATTTATTCAGTCTTCACCAATCGGTCGACCAACCGACTCATAATCGTGGACATATTCTTGACTGGGTACTACATAGGCCTCAAGATGGTGTAGTTAGATCTACTTCAATCACACAAGAGCTGTCCTCTGACCACTTCTGTGTTATTTGTGAACTTAGTGTTAGTGCCCCCAACCCTCCCCCTCAGTTTAGGGAGGTGCGCAGTCTGCGAGCTATAAACAGGGATGCATTTAAGCATGACCTAAGCGTAGAAGTGTCCCCTGCCCTCTGCCCTACATTGGAATCACTAGACCGTGCATTGCGCGCTGTGCTTGACCGGCACGCCCCTGTCACCCGCCGCAATTTTAGTCTAAAGCGGTCATCTCCCTGGTATGCGACCATCAAGGAGGAACTACGCAGTGCCAAGAAAGAGCGCCGTAGTGCAGAAAAGAAGTGGTTAAGGTCAGGTCTTGTGGTTTTTAAGCAGATATTTTACGCTGCCAAGAAGCGTGTCAATCAGATTGTTTGTCGTGCAAAGACTACGTATTTTAGCCAAAAGATAACTATGGGTAAAACCAGCAGGCAGTTGTTTGATGTTTGTGGTCACCTTAGGGGGAGTAACAAAGGAACTGCGCTTCCTTCGGTGTTTCCCCTGCCCAAGCAACCAGATATTTTCTGTAATTTCTTTACAAGCAAAGTAGCTGACATTCGAGCTGAGCTTGATCGTCTTGATGCCCCTCCCCTTGAATTGCCTCCTTTCCCTTGTCTTACTTCCCATTTTAATATTTTTAAACCTGTTTCAGAACTTGAGGTAAAAAATATAATCCTAAAATCTAAACATACGTCATGTTATTTGGATCCCATCCCAACCCCCCTGTTGGTTGAGTCATTAGATATCTTGCTCCCAACAATAACCCGCATAATAAATGAAAGCTTATATTCTGGCACTGTTCCGCCTCTTTGCAAATCAGCTGTCATCAAACCATTGCTTAAGAAGCCCGGTCTGGATGAAAATAATTTAAAAAACTATAGACCTGTATCTAACTTATCATTTTTATCTAAAGTTATTGAAAAACTAGTCCTAAAACAACTTTTTGCTTACTTAAATGATCACTCTCTTCTCAGTTCTAATCAGTCGGCCTATAGACATTTCCATAGCACGGAGACAGCTCTCTTGAGAGTCAGTAATGACCTCTTGCGCGCAATGGACAGCGGTAATGTCTCCATTTTGATCCTCTTAGACCTCAGTGCGGCCTTTGACACTGTTGACCATGAAATCCTTTTCAAAACCCTTGAAAACTACTTTGGAATTTCTGGTTCGGTTTTGGCTTGGTTTAGGTCCTACCTCTCTGATAGAACGCAAATGGTCTCTGTCGATGGCTGTCTCTCCGGCAGTGCTGATTTGGTGTACGGAGTGCCACAGGGGTCCGTTTTGGGTCCGGTTCTATTCATAATGTATACCAGACCACTACTCCTCTTGCTCGGGAGGCATGCTGTTGAGAACCAGTCATTTGCAGATGATACGCAGCTATACATGCATACCCATCCATCTCTTGTCGATTCCGCTGTCCAGACTTTGCGGGGGTGCATTGATGATGTCAAGTCTTGGATGACACTCAGCAAGTTGAAGCTTAATGATGACAAAACAGAAGCACTCCTCATTTACAATCACAAATCATCCTCTACCTCAACTCTTCCCACCTCATTTCAAGTAGGTAACTCCGACATACAGTTTACACCCTCTGCTAGGAATCTTGGTTATATTCTTTCTAACAACATGTCTCTCGATAAACATATCTCTCACATTTGTCGTTCGGCATACACCGCCATCCGTCAGATCAGCTCCATCCGCCACTACCTGACAGTTAGCGCAACAAAAACTCTAGTCTGTGCTCTTGTTCTCTCTCGTCTTGATTATTGCAACTCACTTCTGTCAGGTTCACCGAAACATTTTATAGAAAAACTGCAGAAAGTTCAAAACTCTGCTGCTAGGCTTGTTCTTAAGGCAAAAAAACGTGATCACGTCACTCCACTACTCCACTCACTACATTGGCTCCCTATACAGGCACGCATTGACTACAAGCTGTCTCTTCTCTGTCACAACTTTTTCTCGGATTCCTGCCCTTCCTATCTAACTGAACTTCTTTCTGTCTATTCACCCCTTCGACAACTTCGCTCCTCCGCAGACTCGCGTATTCTGTCCGTTCCCAAGACACGCACTAAATTATATGGTGAACGATCTTTCTCTTTCTGCGCCCCCAAACAATGGAATTCTTTGCCACTACACATCCGCAATATAACAACCACACAGGCCTTCAAAACTGCACTCAAAACACATCTATTTAAACTATACTACTCTGACTGATTCTCCTCCTATAAACCGATAAACGTACATGGGTTTCCTTGTAAAAATGTCTGGTGTGGGTGGATGAATAGACCTATGGTGTTGTTTTGCTTATATGTTGTTTTTATTTCATTTATGTATTTTATTTTAATATTATGATTATGCCTCTTTGCTATATTTATGTACAGCGCGGTGAGCCCAGCCCTAGGCCGGGGTACCGCGCTATATAAGACCACTTATTATTATTATTATTATTATTTACAGATGTATTTTAATCCAATTTTATAAATTACATGTGGCTCTTTCTAAAAAAGATGTTATTGCTAAGTTAGTGTTATAAAGATGCACATTTAATATTTTCATTCTCAAAACCAAATAGATCTTCAGTGGGAAATCTTTTTTCCAAAAGAGCCATTGTCGTGGCCAGTAAAAAGTCAAATTTGCCATACCATACATAAATCGTGAAATACTACTACTAAATAGCTGCAAAAAGTAACAGTCAATAGACCAGTTTTTAATCTTTAATAAAAATGCTATTGTAAAACTAACACTTTATCACATATACCTAAGATCAGCTGGATCAGGGCAAGTTCTTTCTTTTAAAGTTAGACCCCAAAGATTTAAAAATTCTTTTCTTTCCCAGTCCGTACAAAATTACTAGTGTGCTCCCCCAGCGGTTACCAATTCTAAATGATCAATAATTAAGTCATAATGAAGTCATTATTTTCACTAAAAGAGTTCATTGATGGCTGATTACTATTCTAGAGAAATACTTTAGATGACTTATGTTTAAATTTTTATAATTTAAAATGTCTTGGTTAAAATATGTATTTATTTATGTGCTTAAAATAAATATGTCCAATTTAATCAAAAAACATTTCCATTTATTTGGATCAAAACAAGAATCTTATCATATAAGTATGCACACATATTCAAGAGCTTACTTGTCTTATTGGATGCTTAATGTTAATTATTTAAGAGAATAAAATTCTATAAAACATTGATATTTTAAGAATAATTTTAAATTGTGCTTACATTTTTTACTTTAAAATAATTTTTTAAGGGGCAAAACCAAATAAACCACGCTTAAGGGGTCCATTCACCACATGTCTCGTTTGACAATATGCTTTCCCTGGAAAATGATGTTGTGTGCATGATTCTGTAAAGGAGTAAAGCTTTCAAAGGGTATTTTAAAATTATTTCTTCTTCTCCTTAACAGAATAAGAAAAATAGAAAATCTGGATACTTTGTTAAAGCTTGATGTCCTTGACTTACATGGCAATCAGGTTTGTTGCATAATTTTTTTAAAAATTCTCATCTTTTAAACATATAAATGACTTCATTTCGCTTCATATATAAGGAAGGCATTTAAGTTCTAAACATTAATAAACAAAAATACATAAAGGCTAATTTGGCTAAGACATAGTCTGGCCTCACCATGTTATGTACATTATGGATAAGGCTTGGGAAGTAAGTAGACACTAAACACCAACACTTTTCTGATAATATGTTGCCTACACTAAATTTCCATAGGATTTTCTGAATAAGAATTAACATGTTAATAATGAAATTAAAATACATGAAGAAACATGGATGTCAAAGAAAACTTTTAGTACGGCCCACATCTAAGTAAGGTACTCTCCTTGTCCACATCAAATCTTTACTATTTAGACCTTTCCACGAAAACTTTTTCAACATCTGACTTTTTCTATTTTTTGACATAGGATAATATAATTTTATTTGGTTATAAATCATTCATTAAGTTTTACAGTTATCAGCGATTATGAAGAATATAATATTCCTTTCAGATTTCAAAGATTGAGCATTTAAATCATCTATCTGAGTTACGCGTGCTCAATCTAGCTGGCAATAACATCACATTTGTGGATGAACTCACTGGACTTGATTCACTAGCTGAGCTCAATCTCAGACGCAACAAAATTCGAAATGTGGTGCGTATGAAAAGGTGTTTTTTTCTGTCAGACATATAAAAATATTATTTTAACTGTTAAAGCATATTGTAGAGAGAATTATAGAAATTTTTGTAAGTTAGCTTTAAGAGATATATAGTGCTGCTTCATTTAAAATATTTTGAAGCTACCGTTATGTTGCTTTAGCCATTGTCTTTTTTTTTCCCATTTCATGATTCAAAAGACTGAGATAGATATGTTGCCTAATTTGCAGAGACTGTTTCTAAGTTTCAATGAGATCACAAGGTAGCGTCCTGTTGATTCCATTCATATAATCATTGTCATTATTTTGTTGCTTGTTTTTGTGTGGTTTGTCTATACAAATATTTTACTTCCTGTCAGTTACTGCTAATTAAGTTGTTCTTGAACATGTTCATCTTTACATTATTACATTATAATTCTCTGGGTATGAAAAAAGTATGATATAACAGTGAGTTCAGTAGCGCACAAAATAAATTTCCCAATAAATGCACTAAATGAGATTCTTAAAAATACAGCAAGTGTTTGGTGTTTAATATTATATCTTCTTTTGTTTCATGGAAATAGTCTCAATTTAATATGGTGTAATATATCTGCGTGTTAAAGGGGTGCGACTTTAGAATATTACATGTTTTCAGGGGCATGAATGGGGGGGGTTGTCAAGTAAGTTTAGTAATTGGTAAGTTCATGCATTACCACCACCATTATTTGGTGGGTTATAACTAGTCTTTGTTTATACATTTATTTGTGTTTGTCAATATTTATTTTGTTTACTTTACATTATTTAGTAAAATGTAAGATGAAGTTTTTCTATAACATTTAAATAAAAAGAAATTGATTCTTAAATCTATAGCCAAAAATATCTGCCATAAAGCACAAGATTTCATGATGATGTAAAGCTGATCATAAAGAACAAAATCATGGGCAACATTAATAAATGCCGTTTAATAAAAATGAATTTCCAGTTAGAGTAGGAGATCATTTTACTAAAGTGTTCTCATGTGACAAATGTTAACCCCTATATAATAGACACAGTAGATCATTTTATTGATTTTTCTATAATATTTCTTAAGAGCATAGTTTTTCATTCACAAGAACAATTCATCAGATCTTGAGGTAGTTAATCTTGTCCAATGAACTGTAACATTTATTCTCATACCTTACGGTGGTGCTTCATTGTTGGACATTATTGGCTTAGACACTGCATTCTTTATTCCCATTAGTTTTAAGTACAAAAGTTGTTAACCTAAATTTAAGATTGAAGTGTTCAGTTTGTTGTATTAATCTACATTCTTTTAGCTCCTTCACAAAATCTCCTCGTTAGATTTTGATATTGTGTGGAAATATTCATTGAGCCTTATGCTAAGGAGGATTTAATTTCAACTTTTTAAAAATGAGATACATGTTCATTTACTTTAGTCCCATTTTGTTGGAAGTACACTATCTGGTTTAGGTAAATTTTATGCAGTTCGTGCAACATAAGGAATACAATGGAAATTTCTAAAGTTATTAAAAAGCTATAGCTCTTTAAACAGAATTCTGGCATTTCTGTAAACCATGTGGCACTATCGCCACTTTCGCAGTAAGATAGCAACCAGCTCTAAAGATATGTAAGTCATTCTTAAGAGTGTGTCATTTTATTTTTAGTAATGCCCTGTAATGACATGCTAAGAGTATAGAATTATCATAGAGAAAAATTCATAGAGGAATACCAAATTAAAATCTTGAATCAGTTATTTGGTAGGCTTCATTCTTCCCCCAAGGCTGCATTTTTAAAATTATTTTTACAAGAAATATTATCTTTTGTTTAAGTCTAAACTATCTAAGTAGACTCATCTCTCCAATTTGTTTAAATTTTGTAAATAATATTAGCTTGTTGAGACATATATAATGTAACATCAATTTTCTGGGTAAAAGGCAAACGTTTGTGCTCCAAATTTTGTTTTTAAAATATTTTACTAGTTTTGAAGATGTCCAGTGTTTAGGAGATTCAACAAGCCTTTCAGAAATTTCATTGGATGGAAACCCAATATGTCAGGACTCAAACTACAAACAAATGGTGCTGCGCCAAATGCAGCAGTTGAAACAGCTGGACATGAAGAGAGTAACAGTAAGTTAAAATAAATAGCTTTACCAAGAAAACCTAACAGTGTTGTTAACATTGCAGTGCTGTAGTAAATCTTGATATTGGTACACTTATGAAATTCTAAAGCAGTGCTGTCTAACCTACATGGGACAAAAAAAAAATTTCTTGGAACCTAAGGGCCACAAATGACATCTAAAAATAAAATGATTCCTGTTATTAATCCTTCTTACCTTATGCATAAAGAGTAATATATCCAATAGCAGTATCGGCTCAGCAAGAATATAAATAAAGTGTTTAAAAGCTGTAGTCATTTTTAATGACATATTTTGCTTTGACTTGTACTTGCAGTTGTTTTAATTTGAGGTAGTTATCAGTGGCACTTGCCCTCATTGGATTTTAAAATGTTTACCAATGAAAGCGTTACGTTTTTCGACTTAATGTTGTTCATTACAGAGAATCCAGCCTCACTAATTTAGGGTGCTTCCAAAAACATTGTCAAAATTTTGTTACAACATTTGCATAGTTGTGGAAATTCATTAGAAGAAACATGACAACCAGAATTATTTGGCCAAACATTCTGATGTTTTTTTATTAAAAAAAAAATACTTTCAAGAATCGTTCCTACTGTCTTTCATAATTCCTCCCTAATTGAATTATATTAACTACAAACAATCACAGCATGTATCCTGCTTTCTACACATTGAAACTCTTATACTCCGATCTCTGAATACGAGTTACTTGTCCCCAACATCACAACAATACAAGAGATACCTTTTTTGGTGACCAAAAATGCTGCACTTCTAAAAGTGCACCCCAAAGTGGAACAACCCCTCCGTACCCCTCTTCCTGCACCCCTGCTTGTAGAATCATCATACTACTGCGTCTGTGGCTTTGCTCCCTCTCCGCATATGCATATTTTGCATCATCTAGGTCAGTGCTGTCTAAATATTTGTTTAAATAACATTGGTGCCATTGATGTTTAACTTCATAGTCATTCTATTGTGACACCTTTAGTACCCCAGCTCTCATCTCAATCACTCTGACCTAAAGACTTTCCTGGCAGTAGTTAAGTCACTGTGCTCACCTATCTATATCATCTAACTTAGTACCATTGGTGGGGGCACGGAAAATTTTACAATAACCAAATAGCTACACATCAAGTTACTTTTGGTTTCTCTATTCATCTTTCCCAATTCCATCAGTAATTATACCCGATTCCTCCCCTGTACAAGCAATAGAAAGAAGGCGCAGATTAGTATCCGATTTTATGTCACAAGGTTCCCAAACGGTTGCTCTGCTGATGTGCTTAACATAAATAACTGCTTCCTGTCAAGTCATTTGACTCCTTAGCTTTTGTAACTCATCATTTTCCGTGTTACAACTTCTCCTGCGCTCTCACATGATTTTCCAGGAATTCTTAATCAATGAAGGAGGTTTTAAAATATTTTCACCCAAAAGTGTTTTATTTTTAACACACAGCATAAAAATGTCTCAAGCTGTGGTGGGCCATTTAAAATCAGCTCGTGGGCCGCATGCAGCCCGTTGGACAGCACTGCCCTAGAGAATGTAGTTCATCTCCAAACATGCCCTCTAAACTCTTTAAATTTTATTTATCATAAAAAATAATTTTTATTTTTTAAATTACTTACAAGGAAGAGGAACGTAGATTGTCACTTGTCATGGCCAGAAAAGAAGAGGAAAAGAGACGAGAAATGAATAAAATTGCTATGTTGAAGGTAGTGTTGAATTGTGTGAATTAGATATTTTCTACCCATGTTCTCATGACTGGTGAAGACATTTTAAAAATTAATATACAACACAATTAGGAGCAATATAATAATATACTTTTTTTTCTTTTGTAAGCTGAATTTAGTAAGGAAATACATGTAGAATTTTCACCTTTGCAAAATTTAATGCTAAGAAAACAATTTGAATTTTTTGTATATCATCTGCCAGGAGAAACGGAGAATAGCTATAAATAATGCCAAACGTCAATGGGAAACTATGCAAGGATCAATGATGTCCAGAACATCAAGACTTGTAAAAATCAACAGTTCCATGCCAGAATTGTTTGCCAACCATATTGGCTCTATTCCTAATATAGAGATGACACCATCACCTGTAGGGGAAGGAGATAGGCTTGATGTAGAATCTCTGACCAGGTACTATTACATTAGCTCACTTTAACAAGTTGTCACTCATTTACTAAAAAACTAGACGTTATAAAACTATGAATCAATTTTTTAATGTTACAACCCCATTAGTGGAACTTGCAATTTCTACATATGTAAAGTAAATTAATATCAAAAGAATTATTTGTAAAATAAACATGTCATAAGTTTTTCAAAATCTAAGAATGGATGGGCATTTAATTGCAACACTAACAAAGAAATAATTAACTTAATTGTGTGACGGATCCTTAAGTCAGCCCATGAAAGGATAATAAATTAAATCCATATTGCAACTTAGTACATCTTATATTTTAGATCAGGGGTGGGAAAGCTATGATTCATGAGCAAATTGTGACTCGCTCCTCCGCTTTGAATGGCTTGTGTTCCCTTTAAAAAAAACTAAATGATCATAAAAATGGAGGCAAAAACGTCTAAATTTTTAATTGCAGATGTCACTTCTATATGGGGGTAAACCAAACACACGCCCCCTTCACCATTTATGGCTCCCATGCCTCTGTTACATCTTGAATCTGGCTTGCAACTACAAAAGTTTGCCCACCCTGTCTTAGATCATAAAATATAACATGCAGTATAAACTCAATAATATGTACAAGGGTTATCTAGACATTTAAAAATCTGGATTGTTTTATATGATCCAGGGTTGTACTATGTGTATCTATTTGGTAAGGGAAGGAATCATTGCCACAATGGCATTACATATCAGATCAGGTTCAAAAGCAAGCCCATTGCAAAAACCACCACACAAAACTTTGATGTTAAGGATCATCTGCTGTTTATAAAAAAACGGGTCTGACAGTAAAATTGAAAACTTTTTATTTCTCGTGGAATTCGTAATTTGTCATGTTAATAGTATATATATATATATATTTATATCTTTTGGATCATTTTATTTTCAGTCTTTTATGTTTATTAAAGCCAATAATGAAATAAAATGTATGCTCTATAACAAAAGTGATAATATTGTTAAAACATTGCATGTAAATAAAACATCAAATCTGTTATTAAAATTAAAAAATTCCATCTAGATATCTATTTTCTAGCAGTGATATCAGAAGTAGGCCTGGCAGTGCACGCAGTAATCTCACTGACCCAGAAAATTCAATGGATGAACATTCAAGAAGTGGTAGCCGCAAACGAGAGCCAAGATTTCCCCCTCGTGAGACTGTAAAAGATGTGACTACTGTGTATGTATTATTTTTAAAATCATGAGAGATTGTGACTAAATATGGAATAAATGAATAATGAAAGTGTTGATGTTTAATAGGGAACATATTAGCTTCTTGATTCCTACCTATTTTGTAGTAAGAAATGGTTAGAGTTATGGTTGCATTTCAAAAAGTTAAAATTTGCTGGTTTGTATTTTTAGTTGTGTCAAAACTATTGTTTCAAAAATTGCTGAGGATGTTGATGAATTCAATTTAATGAGTTGTGTGGCTGCTACTTGGGTGATATTTTATCATTTCAGCACGGTCAAACACTTCTCTTCTCAAACCTTGACAAGTTTCAAATAAATAAAATATAATAAAGAAACTCAATCTTTTGTTATTAATTAAATAGAAAGTCCTGTATTTTTAAGCTATATGGAGTAGGTAATGAGTTTTAAGTATGGAAGAAGTTTTTTTTACATTAAATTTTAAAAATAGTATTAAAACTGCATTTGCCAATTTGACATACTACCTTGATAAATTGTACATGTCGAAGTAAAAGAAATATCTACACAAATTCACAAGTTTTATTTTCTTCTTTAGGAACCATAATACAATAATTGGAGATGGTTTGAACATGCTAGAGCAGATTGAAGGGGACACTTTGTCCTTGTATGGTGCTCAGTCACTAGATGCATTTGAAAGGAACTGGGGTGTCCAGGCAGCAGGAGCTGTCACTGTAATAGTCTTTAAATTTATTGATTTCGATGCTATTGTAAAGCAACTTTCAAAAATACGTGTAAGATTTCCTGCCACACAGGTTGGTTAAAAAGAATTTCATCTTTAATTATGATAATTTTTAATACATAGAATTACTATAATATTAGTAGGCCTATATGAATATTCATAATTTTGTTTTATTGTATTTTTTTTCATTTTCAATTTGTTTAATTCGCCAACTATAAATGAACAAAAAATTTACTGACATGTAATATTTCACTCCTAGACTCTGGTGTTTTGCTCTACAAATATACACAGCCTTCAACAAATTAATTCACTGTCTTTGGTTCGAAGACTTGACAATTTGACCATTGACTTAGATGGTAACCCAGTCACAAAGTTTACATTATGGCGGATGTATACCGTCTTTCGCTTGGCTCACTTTGCACTTAAAAAAATTAATGATGTTGAGGTAAACAATGTGTTTTTCATCAATTTGATTTTCACATATATATTGTTAAAAAAGTACAGATTAGAAAGGTACTGTTTTAATTCTGGGGTGACGCTATCTACTACATTTTGCCAGTTAATGTATATTGGCTTGTGTTGCTTATGGTTGAAATGAGATGAAAGACTTTGACTTGGTATGCTCGTATGTATTTTTTTATATTGTTGCATCTGTTTTTAAATGTGGTAAATTTTAGATTTTTAATATGGTTGACGTGGTACCGCTCTTCGAGGTTTTGGGGATGAAGCGTGTTTTTCAAATAAACTTTAATAGTATTATTAATTTCCAATTCTAGCTTCTAAAAATAATAAATTATCTTCTTTAATTTTTATTAGTACAAAAATTAAAGATTTAAGTTAAAAAAAACTATCTATGTTTAAATTTATGTTTTTTAATTCTTAAAATTTTTCTTTCAGGTGTCGTCAGGAGACATTGTGAATGCTGAAAAGCTATTTGGTCCCTTATCTCATGTAGCCACTTCTCAACTTCCTCAGTACCGCCTCCTTTCACTTATGGGGGATACCCGCAGGAAGCAAGCTGTTATTGACGGCAGAAAACAAGTTGAGGCAGGGAAAGGTGGTTTGGGAAAAGCCCAAGTGGAAATGATTGGCAGAGCAGGTTTAACCTATGTGACTCCTGATTCAAGAGTGGTATGTTAATTTTATCTTAAATGGACATAATTTCACTTTGGCCATTCTTCATGACTTCAGATTGACCTATTCCTGCATTACTCACTCTTTAGCGCCCTCCCAATTTCCTGCATGCATCCAAATAACTTGTTTCATTTCGCCTTTATTTTATTTCATCTCTAAATTACAAGAGTTAGAAGAGACACTCTTGGCCCTTGTACCAAGAAAGCTGTTCTTGTTTTTATGAATATCTTACTGCTCTTGGATCTGAAGTGCTAAATATCTTAATAAATTATGGCCTGTTGGATTGATGTATTGATCTTTCATTGGTTTATTATAAAATATTAATGACAGTAATTGACCTTACCCTACTTCTGTCTGATTCTAGTTTATTGAATAAAAATCTGTATCATGTTAATTAAATATTAGTGAAATATTTTGCATGGTGAGAAATTTGAACTGGTAAACTTCAAAACAGTTAAGAAAAAAGGGTAATATTGGGGGTTAAAAACATTATGATGTAAAGTAATGGGGGGTTGGGGGGAGGGCGGATTGATCTGAAAAGCAGCAGTGAAATTGATTCATACATTGCTTATTTTGATAAAGGCTGACTTGGATTGTAAACTAGTTCTTTTAAAACATCAATTACTTTCAGGACACAGAGAGCAAGAAACAGTTTGCCCGCAATTATTTAACTGAAATAACAAAGGAGTCTTTGTATAATGACAAGAAGAGAACAGAATTAATGAGAATCTGGCCTAGTTTAATCACAGAAATGGTACAGAATGCTTTATCAGACATGAAAGACATCGACTCTTATATGAAACAGTCATTGGAAGAATTGGAGAGAGGATAATCTGCACTGTTTCTGTGCTGTTGTTTGGAATTGGGGGGGAGGGAGAAGAGAGAGATGAGTTGAAAAATTACGTAACTGACTGGGATGTGGCTTGTACTGGCAACTTTTCTTCACCAACCTGGCATAGTCAGATTTTCTTTCGCCAGACAGATGATTCTTATGAGAATTATTTGCCTCATTACCATTCCACCACTTTGATCAAACGTCTATAATCATTTAAATTATTACATTTCTATAATGGTGCTAGTGAGCTCTCTCTGATAATTTTTGAGGTGTGTTCCTCTTTAATGGTATTATTTTTAAAAAGTATCTTTATTCTCCAATGGAAGAATATAATAACTAGAGATAATAACTATGTAGATGTGATTGCATTCTATGTTTTGTTAGTGTGATTGTATCCCAGAGCTATGCTATGATAGAAACATTGCTCCACATTGACTGAGGCTGATGTTGTCAGTTCCTATCAGTAGGTCTAAAAATGTTTGGGAAAGTGCATACTTGTTACCTAAATTGGAACAAGCCCATCAACAACTGTATGCTGTGGTAAGATAGAACAGAGGTTAATCCTAAAAATATCTACTGGCTTGTCAGAATGGTAGTGTCCACTGTACAGATATATACAATATAGTTTTTTCTTCAGATGGAAACAAAGTAAATATGAACCCTATTAAAAATTTTATATTAATACATTTTATTGTTGAAATATATCTATCTTTTAATAGACATCAAGACACCTAAATCTTATCTAATGTGAATCCTCTCTGAAACTGAAACATGACCATTTCATTTGAATTTGTAAAAATTATTTATGTAATTTTTATTAAATAAATTTAACTAACTTAAAACATGAAAAAAATGTTATCTTTGAATTTATTAAACATTATATGACTACCAAGATAAATAAAATACACCTGTAGTTCAGATCTTACTTTTTTAAACGCTTCATGTGTCAGGAAGTGAAGATGACAGACTTTTAAGATTCTATTTCTATATTCTTAACATTCTCTAATTTCTTATTATTGGCTTATCCATCATCTGCTCACCTTGATTACAGAACTACCCCCAAATTTATGCCCGTGTATTGATTCTAGGGAGGTGTTTATTAACAGGACATCTACAATGATATAAGTATAAAGCAGGTGATTCACAAAAATATCTGTTTATTATTGAACTTAATGACAAAAAACAAGGAGATTTTTTTTAAACAGTTAATTGCACTCACAAAAATGACTGTAAATAACACAACATTTGACACTATGAACATTTAAACTACTAACACAATGGCATTAATTTAATTATAGAGGGACTGCAATCAAGCAGTGTGAAGTAATTAAAGAAATAGTGGAACAAGATATGTTTAGGCTAGAAAATAAAAAGTCAGGTAAATTAAATTGACGATTTGGCGAGAAGCCTTCTTCACTAGATAATTCAAAACAGGAAATTAAACTCATGTGATCTAAAATCTCAATAAAGTTAATGTAGGTCAATGTTCAAACAGGAAATGCTCTATTTTATTAATTTAACACAACTTATCTTTCTAGGTCATTACATTAGTCTTAAAATAATGAAATGTAAATTTCAACCTTTTAATATTTAAAAAATCAGTTGTTTTCTTTCAATCTGTGGCCTAAAGGATGATAACATTTTCCTGAATATTAATGTAAGAACCAAAAGGATTTCCCAGACATAATCCACGGTGATAGTTTAAATTATTTTATAGGAATATCCCTGAGCTTTTGCCTAAGCTTTTCTTTAATTACATCTCCCTCAAATATACAGTCTATTGTTTTCTCAATATAAGCCTTGATCTTCTCTTTATTTAAATTGAATACAGTAGCAGCTGTTACATATTCCTGCGTTAGACTTGTATTGTAGACACCTTTTCCATCAGTCTGAAATCAGAAATCTGTGTCTCATTTAAGTTCAACAGAGCAACTGATTACAAGTTATCATTAGTATTAGTATTACATACCGGTAACTAGGAATTAAACCCGTAACTAGGAATTAAACCGCAAAAACAACTGCTACTTTTTGAAAAAAGTCAAACAATCTTAATATACATTAAAAGCTAAAAACCATTGAACTTACACAGATCACAATAGGATGATCTTTGTCGTACCAGTATTTAAAATGATGTTTTTCCACACTGTCCACTGTCATAGTACGCAAGTTGGAAGTAATGCAGGCCTCTGTAATTAAGAAAAACTTACTCTCTACCAGAAATCTTGTTAGCTACTCCCATTTTTAAATTATAATTTTTTATAAGAATATCAGAAATATTTGCCTCCTTTTCATATTTGCCTATTACTCATTTCATATATCTAATTCTATTAAATTAATAGATAACATGATTATTTTTCTATCGCCAAATAATAAATTATTAAACTCAAGAGAAAATTAACACCTTAAATCTAACTACTGGTAAACTAAAGCAAAGTTATTCTTAAAATTTGATTTATTGCGCTTTTAATATCAACATTTACAGATCAACAAATTTACCTAGTGGTATCCTCTTTTGTAATACAAGATCTTCCATTTCATTTTCCGAAGATTTTTCCTGTTGGTCACTGCGATGTAAATATGTACCATGACCTATTCGTACTGGAAATGAATTGTCCTGACAACAAGCTTTTAGAACATTTCTAGTTTCAGCATATAATGGAAGCTGTAAGGCAGTAATAATTCATAAACTGAGAAGGGGACACATCTTTTATTCTGGTTCAGTATTCATTAAATATCTAGATCAGATTTTAAACCAGGGGTCGTGGGTGGCAGTGCCAGAGGCAGAGCGGGACTATTTTCACCTGAGGGAGAAGGATAAATTTGCACATCTATGCATTCAATTTTTTATTACTAAGTATTTTTTATAAGTTTGGTGTCCTTTTTTATTGTTACCCGAAGCAAGTCCCTCATTTGCCTCCTCATTGTTCTGGCCCTGACAAGGGGTGCAGGAAAACCCAGAAATTTTAAAAGTAAAAAAATAAAAAAAATAAAAAAAAAAGGGAAAAATTCTGAAAAGGTAAAAAATAATACAAAAAATCGTTAAATGAGAGCTGATTATATTTTTTATTAGCTAAAAGGTTATGTATTGGTGTCACATCTGCTAAATTTTTAATATATTTTTTAAATATAGTAATTTACTTTACCTCTGCCAAGTGGAGTGCAAGTTTAAGGTTTCGTTTACCAGCTTCTATCAACACTGGTATCAGATCCGTTGCATCTCCTACCTATGCAAAATATAATTTTAATTAGTTTGAAAATTAGTCTTTTTTAAAATCACAGTTAAAAACACTATTTTCAAACTTCAAAATTGTCCATTAGCAAGACAGGTGATACAATCCATGACAGTGGGCACTAAAAACACCTTGGAAGGAGTAGAGTGCATAAATGTGTCAGAAACAAGCCCCCAAATTAAATTAATTCAGACACAAAAGTATTATATGCCATAGTCAATGACTGTGTTGCAATTAATACTAAAATAGTTCCTTTCTAAAGACTTATATCATAAAAAAACAACAGGGGACAAACAATGTCAAATCATAAATGTAAAGATCTGTAGGCTTTAATCAAAAAAATTAATTTTGGGAAATAAATATGTCATCATTTTTTATATCAAGTGCTTTTAAAATGAACATAGGTCCATTAAAAAATAAAAGTTTACCTTTGGATCACCACTAACATCAATTCCAATCACCAGCCCTTCTTCTTCTTGCATCAATTTTTCTGCAAGTTCAATTGTAATTTCTGCAATGTTTGTGCCATGTCTGCGGTCAATTGAAACTAAAAGTCTGACCACAATGTCCAATCCTTCTTTTTGACAATCTTTGACAGCATCTATCATGGTCCTCATATACAGTTCTCTTGTCATACCAGTTTCTGGGATTTCTTTGGGAGTGGATCTCAGCTCTAGATACTTAACATTGTCTTGTGCAAACTCCTCTATAACTCTTCGAGTAAGCTGATGTAAGACATTTATATTTTTTAAAAATTATGTCGCACTTTTTCAGCCAAATACAATATATAAAAATCTAAACAGATTCAGTTACTGAAAATTGTCAAATACATTGTATTAATACACATCAAGATAGCAAATCTACAGTAACTGTAAGCTGGATTTATTTAAAGTGAAAATACAACATTGTGTTTCAAAATTTTGAGTCTCACCTAAGCACTTTTGAATCAAAGCTATTGTACTGACAAACTTATGTGAAATGACCAACACCATATGTCAGGTTCACAAAAATTTTAGTTATACATAGACAAAATATATTACAAGTTACATTTTAGAGTCACAAGGCATAACCATTATTCTATTTAGTTTGCAAGATATATAATTCTGGCCCAATACTTCATTTACATTTAAAGGCTCTTCAAAGAATAAGTAACACCAATCCACTAAATAGAAAGAACACATCAACACTTCATTTTCAAAACTCACCAAATAAACAGCTTCTTTTGTGGTGACTAGCTTTTGAATCTTTGTAAAAAATGTGAAGCTTCTGTTAAATCAACAAAAACAAAAAAAAGATGAAAATGGTTTTTAAAAATCATTAATAATAAAGCACAACAATCAATTTCAAACAAAAATATATGTATAATGTTGAAAGGTATATCATCTGACAAAAAACCTGACTACTTTAAGATTGATTTTTGTTTACTCATCAATGTCTTTATTGGATGATATGTGCATTTCCTCTATTCCCTCACTTCCCCCTTTGAGGTCCATTAGTTCTTCTAATGTTTGTCTACTGTAACTTGTGTTAAGATGAGCATGAAGTTCCTGAGAACAAGGACCAGAAAAGTATTATCAATAAGTTTAATCGTTTTAAAACTCTGTATTCTATTACATATACAGCCATTGGTGTTCCATACAGACCTAAATTAATAAAAACAAAAAATAAATAGGTTATTTAATTTAGAAATAGTAAGTCATTAAAAAGTCTTTGGAACCTAGACTACTGCTAACACTTTTATCCATATTATTATTAAATCTCTAAAGGACATTGCATATTTCTAAGTGCATCAATTAAGAACTGAATTATTTCAATAAGAAGGCATACTTACTACTTTAGGTAGGCTGTGACAGAACACGTATATTTCTTCTTGTTCAATATCCATTTCAAAAGTTTTTGAACTTACAATGTTTAGCTGGTTGATCACTGATGTGAAAAATTTCTTTTCTTATTTTTCTAAGGTGAGATTTTTCACAGACTGGAGAAATAATTATCAATGTCAATTCATAAATTTAAGGGCAATTTATTATTTTAAATTAAAAAAAAAAACATAAACCTATTGGCATTATTATTGCTTAGTCTAGCTGATTTAAATGAATAGGGTATAAAAAGAAGCACAACAACCATGTATTTGTAATGGTAGGTAAATGTAAGTCTAATCATTTTTAAATACGAGTATGACATATGATGATAATAATTATATGGTCTCAACAATAATAATAGGTCAATTTACGCTCTCTGCGATATGGCTTGTGTTTGTGTAGGATTATCTCCCTTTTGTTGATATTCTTGTAGTACGGTAACAAGAATTGAGTTTTCCTTTTAAATATGTTAAAAGTTAAAATAAATTCTTCCTTACTAAAAAATGTTTGTAAACTTGCGATTGTTGTTAATTTTAAAAGTACCACTCAAAAATGGCATTCCTTAAAATTCTTGAGTAAATAACTGAAATTTAAAAAAAAAGATTATTAAATAACTTTATTCAAGTGTACTATTTATTTAATAAATATTATTTTAAGTCTCAGCCAACAGTTTTTTGTCTTTGAAAAATGTCCTAAAGTCTAAGTCCAGTTTTAGGTACTTTGGTAACACTAGGTAAAACGAAACTCACTCACCCACACCTTCTGCGCTTGTCGAAAAATGATGCATTAACTTTTGTGGCCATTTTAACATTCGTCCCAGTGATTATCTTGTTTTTTTGCATTTACGTCAGTTTTCTAAGAATAAATTATTTTGTCCTGAGTAAGGTAGAGCGCATATTTTTCCTAACTGTGTTATCATTTCTGCAGCATTGTGTATTTTGTGACTGCCAACGGATTTATTTTTATACCTCGGTACCTACTTAATAGCTTATTATTTTTTAATGTGAATGTAATTTTTAATAATACAGGACTCCTTTTGACACATAATTTAGGTCTGACTCCGCCCTTTCTCATTAGAAGACATCTTGGTCTACGCCTACATCCACATTCCCATGCCCATTAGCAATTGAGTAAGGGGACCATCCATAAATGATGTCACGCATTGGGGGAGTGTCATATTTATGTGTGGAAGGGGGGGGGGGTTAAACAATGTGATGTCTTATTAAAAGGGGACATTCTTGAAAAAATGTCACTTAATAACACATTATTAAAGATATTTTTTCAACCTTATTAATTATTGTTTGATACAAAAATTATAATTATTTTATTTTTAAACTGTGAACAATGAGAGAATCAGTACAGGTATGCGAGTTTGAGAAATGACCTTTGATCAATTTACAGGCCGTCACAGAGGAGGAGAATCTGGGAGTAGTGACATTGATAATTGACAATCATGAGAATTTATGTTGAAATGTGTAGTGTAGATGGGAATAATAGAAATAGGGCTACCACATGGAGTGGGATGGAACGAAAAATAGTTGTCTAGGGAGGGCGTGTTTAAAATGTTTGCAGCGCTGCATCCTATCTCAATTTAAAAACTTTCCCCACAACCCCTGAACACATTTCCCCACAACCCCTAAACACATTTCCAAACCCTTACCATAATTGTAGTAAACAAGATTAAAACTTTTCCCCCACAAACCCCCCCCCCCCCCCCCATAAATTACATTGTAATAAAACTGTTAAAATTACAATAATTAAATAATTTAGTTATTGTAGTTATATTTGTTTCATTAACTTTCCAGAATGAAGAAAAAATTTACCAATACAAGTAGTCCTAATGCACAATAAAAGTTCACCAGAAAAAAAAACATTTACTGCTGCTAATCAAATTTTAAAAAAAATTATTTTATTTTTAACAACTGGAACAACTAGCACAGGCAGTAAATGCAATTTATTTTCTAGGTCTTCCACACCACAGGGAGTGCTTTCACCCCTGTTAAATGTTCCAGGGAAATGGTTCTGACACAGGTGTCAATAAAGTTTTACAATAAAGTTGAATTCACAAGATTAGAAATAAAAACAACTAATATCACCAATAAGACTAATATGAGCATACCAGTACCAGGGTGTGTGATTGAATTTTAAAAGGTAATGGGGATGGTCTGCCTGTCATTTTCTATTTAGACTGCTCTTCAAACTGCTTGGTCTTCTTGATAAATCCACAATCTCTCTTTCAAAAACTGTGTCTTTGTCCAATCCTGCCTCCTTGTTGATGGAAGGATTTCTTTAACAGAAAATTAAAATTTTCTCTTGTGTCTGAACCAAACCTAGAAATAACATCTAATCATAACCTGAATCTACACAATTTCCTATTGCTTTTTTGTTAAGTAAAACTAATTTCTTTTACTTTGATTAGAATTAGAAATATTTAATATTTGTCAATGTAAACTGTTTTTGTTTACATAAAAAAATAATTTCTATGATAATATTGACTATTTTGTTTATTCGAGTCTTGAATTTATAATTAAATTTATTTTAATTTTTTTTTAAATACTAACTTAAATTAGTAATATTAGTAATGGTATTAGGTTAGGCATATTAAAATATACATTATAATATAGTAATAATATAATATAGTAATGTCAATAATTAGAGAATAACATAGGTTATTATTACAATTATTAAACTATTATTGATTCAATAAAGAAGATCAGATACAAATTTTAGGCATTCTCTCATAAAATTTCTTAATTTCAATTTATACTATACATATTATTGTATAATTATTTATGTAAATCAAGGGACAAAACTGGTCCGATTTTCAACCAACTGCACAAACTAAAATTAATAAAAACTCTTTAATTTAATGGGTTTTATTAATTTCTAATAATATTGTAAACTGTTTCCTATTAATTAACTGACAAGTGTTCCACGGATTTTTGAAGATGAATAATAAGGGTCATCTTATTTATATCTTCATTATAAATTAATGACAAGAGCCATTCCTGACAACCCAATTTTATGATATGAGGGGGAATAACTCGTGCAAATAATCACATTTTCATAATTTCCTTAATTTCTGAGGTTCCTAACTTTTTGCAGCTATTGCTATTTTAAATGAAATAAAGTTATTGCCCTTTCTGCAAAATGAAGCCCTAGCGCTGTAGTAACTGTAAAGCATTATGTTCTGCGAGTTTGCAGTTAAAAATGATTAGCTTTTAAGTGCATACTGATCCATTAAAATAAATCTGTTGCCACTCACAAAATACACAATGCTACAAAAATGATATTGCTGTGATTGGAAAAACATGCGATTTATGCCACTGAATGACAAAATAATTTATTATTAGAAAACTGTCTTAAAATGTAAAAAAAAAAAAAAAAAAGAAAATCCCCCGAGACAAATGTAAAAAAATATGATATTGCTGTGATTGGAAAAACATGCGATTTATGCCACTGAATGACAAAATAATTTATTATTAGAAAACTGTCTTAAAATGTAAAAAAAAAAAAAAAAAAAAGATAATCCCCCAAGACAAATGTAAAAATAGCCACTCAAGTTTTTGCATCTTTTTTTCGAAATGCACAGAAGGTATGCACGAGTGACTTTCACTGTACCTATTTTTTTAGCCATTAAAAAGGGTTTAACTTTTATTTAAAATTTCTGTCAAACTAACTAGACACTCATTTTTTTCATTTCATTTACTTTATCGGTTTACACTTATTGAACATTAGTGATTAGTGTCATCTGAACTGAACTAGCTTATTGGAGTTTTTATTTGGCTTTGCCTTTCAGTTTCACTGTTCACTTTTTCCTTCAGTTTCAGCTTGACTTACTGTGTATACTCGCATATAAGCCTACATCGCCTATAAACCAACCCACTAAAACTGCTTTAAAATTCCGAGCTGTCAGCTTGGTCTCTTTCAAATTAAGGTTTGTCAAAAAGGCCTTTTACGATAAGAAAATAAAAATTCATTCTCTCTACAATAACATCTTCCTTCGCATCAATAATTCATAAATATTTCCTGCTCCTGCCTACTGTCTGAACTTGAACACGTTTTAGTCTTTAAAATAACCAGTTTTTGCAAAAACCCGCATATAACCCTAATACAATGTCTAATTTTACTCCATATTTTTGGTTCATACAAATTTATTACTGTAAAGATTTAAAATGCTTACTTTTATGTTACATAACAGTTTGTTTACCTTTTGGAATGACACAAAAACGTGTTCTGCTCTTTCCACATTGTTTGCTATAATAATATCTGAACTTCCGCTCATAAGTTGTTCACAACTAATGATTAACGAAGTATATATTTAGAATTTTTTTTGGAAAATTGGCATTAGTGTCTGTCTTGTGTCCATTTTGTTTTATGCGCATATAAGCCGAGCCCCTGATTTCAGTATTGTATTTTATAGTTCTAAATTTGGCTTATATGCGAGTATTTACGGTAAATTTAAAAATCAACTACAACAGTGACAGTATCTTACTAAGTCAAAGTCTAAGATTACTAAGAAAATGGAGTATCATTAGGCTTTAACTTTAGGCTTAAGTCTGCTAAGCACCATCTTCTCTTCTTTGCATTGACCAACAATACATCCATCCCTGTGGCGCTACAGCCCATGTAGGGCTTTGGCCTGCCTCACCACTTCCTTCCACTCAGTCCTAACTAATGCCTTTCTTTTCCATGGTTGGACTTTCAACTGCTGTAGATTATTTTCCACATCATCTATCCAACTAAGCCTAGGTCTGCCTTTGAGCCTTTTTCCTCTGAGGTATTGGTGATGCACCCTAATCGTTCCTCTGTCATTTGGCATTCTCTCTAGGTGTCCTGCCCAGCGTAGACTGCCTCTTTTTATTTCTGCAACTATCGTGGGATCCTGATGTAGACTGTATAATTCATGTTTGGTTCGTATTCTCCATCCATATTCATCCTTTGTTGGCCCATATATTTTCCTGAGAACTTTCATGTCCCATGTGTTTTCTGCTGTTTTTGTTAGGGTCCAGGTTTCACTTACATATGTTACAACTAGTCTGATCACAGTTTATAAATAGCTTTCTTTGTTTCTCTTGTAATGTTTTTACTTTTGAGTATTTTCTGACTACTGAAGTATGCCCTGTTTCCGGCCAGAGGCGTAGTGTGGTGGGGGCAGGGGGGTGTCACAGAACGGTTGTTACGGAGGAGGGCTCCGGTCCTGACTTATCACCAACTATACTGACTTAGCAGTGGTCAGTACAGGACCGCTCCTCTCTGTGATTTATATTGTGGGTATCTAGGCATTGAGACAGACAAAAGCACAACGTAGACTTGGACGAAATGTAACAACTCAAACTCCAGGTGTCCAACGATAATGAAAGTATGTTTATTTCTAAGATATAAGTTTCTTCTATCATCTGTCGTCTTCTGGTCTCTAGCAAGTATTCCCTAACAACTGCTCAGTTCTATCGTAGCTCTTTTCTCTCTCTTCCTCAAGTAATCCGTAGTTCTTCTCTATCTTCCTCAACTAACTACTGTCGCTCCTTTCCCTCTTCCTCAACTCGTCGTAGCTCTGTTCACTCTCCCTCAACTCACTTAACTCAATGAAAGCTCCCTCTTATATGTGGTTCTCTACCCCCCATAGGTGGTCCAGGAATGCTATCTATAAACACACCCATGCCCCTTAATTTCCGGTCAATTAGACCTTCCCATTGTTAACCCAAAAACTATCACGCGAAGTCTGGAAAACCCGAACATACTATTATCCAAAGAAACAATCCACACTATATCAAGATGTGAGAGTCTATTAACCTTAACTTAACCCCATTAACAGCAGTTTCCTGCCATCCTATAAGTTACCTTAACAACAATGGAGCTCTGTCCTCTACCCCCGCCCCAGTCATTTGTGACAGGAGGGACAGATGTCCCCGGGCGCCAGCTAGTTAGGGGCGCCAAAATGTGCTGTGATATTATTTTATTGATGAAAATAATGGGTTTGAGAGTTGAAAAAAAGAAAAAGGGGCGCTTTAAAATGGATCTTGTCCCCGGGCGCGAATCTTGTCCCCGGGCGCCAAAAACCCTCGCTACGCCACTGTTTCCGGCTGATATTCTTTCTTTTATTTCTGTTCGTAATTCATTTCTTTCATTTAACAAGGATCCTAGGTATTTGGATTGATTTACTTTTTCAAAAGTCTGGTTTCTAATTTTGATTGCTTCATCTGTTTGTTCTTCTCTTTTCATGGTCATGTATTTTGTTTTTTGGTTATTAACTTCCAGCCCTGCTTGTAGATATGCGTCTTCTAATTCAATAAAGGATTTTGATATGTCTTTAATACTTTCCCTAGAAATGCTATGTCATCAGCATATGCAAGATACTGAAGTGGTTGGTTGTAGAGTGTGCCCTTTGGTTGTGGGTTTTGAGTTTCCCTCAGAAAGTATCCTGTTATCGTTCGAGTGTCAATGTGTATGTTTCTAATAACCCTCTCTAATGTTAGGTTAAAAAGCATACAAGACAGTGAGTCTCCCTGTCTTAGGCCTCGTCTAATATGAAATTCCCTTGAATATTCTCCTTGAATCTTTATTTTGCTTTTTTTGAGTTGTTTAGTGTTACATATTACATGTATTACTCTTGTCAGTTTGTTGGGTATCCCAAACTCCTGCAGAGTCTTGTATAGATAGTTTCTTTTGATGCTGTCATAGGCCATTTTATAGTCCACATAGAGTTGATGAACTGGTATATTATTGTAGCCGAGTGGTGACGTAGCTTACAGTTTTTAAATAAAATCAAAATGAAACAATCAGGTCTTGAGGACTATAGCTTTATAATTGATGCTCTACTATGATGAAAACAAGAAAAAGGACACTATGAACTATGGAGAAGAAGCCTATGAAGAAAAAGGACACTATGAACTATGGAGAAGAAGCCTATGAAGAAAAAGGACAATATCTGAAAATAAACAAATAGTACAGGTCAACAATGTCCTGACTAACATAGCGAACAATAAACATGTTACATAACCACGTAATTACACGTGGCGACAACATATACTTAATTAGAAAGCATGATAAATGATACGTACGTAGTATTGTTTTATACACATGGCAAAGATACTTATTTTGTATTACGAATGTTTAAGAAACCACGTGTAGTGTTTAATTTGAAACACATGCACAGTGTTAATGCTACACACAGAACCAGAGTGCGATGTGAGGGCTAACATAAACTTTAAAGATCTTGAAGTTATTATAGTATGCCATCCAGGTATGGTGTCTATGTAAGAAGCACCCATAGCAGGACAGTACATACAATGGTATAAAGTATGACCACCGTTGGCTTGATACTTGTATCTGCCCATCGCTGTGTCTTGTTAAGACAACAGCAGATTGCAGAATGAATCATTATATGGAATATGATCCTCACACATGCACCATTTCCTATGTGAGAATTTAGCACACGGCAGGAAAGTTAGCCTATTACACATATTTGACGGACACTCGCTGGTTGTATACTGTTGTATCAATAGCTTATATTATAAGCGCATTGCAGTATGTGTACCCAGAACGATATGCAGTTGTTTGTTACGCTCACAAACCCTGGTCACTGGTATCTAATTTATTAATCCTATTAAAGAATTTATTTACCGGTTGTATGTTAACCTTTAAAATAGCCTGAGCATAAGTCTACACGCTGTAGGTTATTCTACACTATATCCTGGCTATAAGTCTGAACAGAAATCTTCTAATGCTAACACTCAACAAGTTCCTACTAACCACAAAGAAATAAAATGGCGTATTTGCCTCTACTTACAGAGCGTTCCAATGGGCCGCACTGAACAAAGGCACACTGCAGGGATGCTGACCAATCTCGAATGACCCCCCAATTTAGTGTGCTCCCCCTTTTAAAGCCGTGCGCGGACATATGAGAGAGCTTCTCCGTCAGACCTAAACCAAGTCGGTCTACGTTTTGCCTTCTGGCCAGTTTCCTGGGATAAAATGCCTAACTCTGGGGACTAATCCCGAGTAATAATTAAAATCTCTGACCAAAGCCCTAACGACTTATATGTGATCTGTGCAGTTTTGTCTCAGCTATCTAAGATACTATTTTATATTTTTATTAGTTAAATAGTTTTTGAGATATTTTAACTAGAAGGGGTGGGGACCACTATAAATGAAGGCGAAAACTCCTTTAATGACTAAATGTTAAAATATCCTCCAACGATGGAAACTTGTAAATATGCTAAGGTATAGTGAATAAAATCCCCTTTCTAACTAGATATAATTTATAACTTAATACGCTAGGGTTCCCGAGAAATAAATTATTGATTTTCTAACTAAAGCGCACATCGTGGTATTCTATTATTTCCTCCCTATGCGCGACCGTCCGGGTGGGGTGAAAGGGATACCTGAGTTCAACATTCCGATCCAGTGCTAGGCGAGGTCACACCGCGCGACCTCGCGTTGGGCGCCAAAAATGGTTGTACTAATAGCGGTTGTCTCAAAATAACGGACTAACGGGGCATACACTGCCACATTATATTCATAGCATTTCTCTAATAGGCATCTGATGGTAAAAATCTGATCAGTCGTTCATCTGTTAGTGTTAGGCCTGAATCCACATTGGTAATCATCTAGTATTTCTTCAGTGTAAGGTTGTATTCTTTTGGCAATAAGCTTCTTCAGTATTTTGTATGTAACATTTAATAGGGAGATTCCTCTGTAGTTTGTGCACTGAAGTTTGGAGCCTTTCCTTGTGTATTGGGGTATTAGTATTATTAATGCTGTTTCCCACTCTGTCAGGATTTTCCCTTCTTGCCAAATATTATTTATAAGTTTATGTATCTGATTGTGTAGCTCTTTTCCTCCATATTTGACCAACAAGTATATATAAATAAATAATAAAAAATATACAACTATTAAAACTGACTTTACTACACTTATACTATAAAAATACTAGTCAAGACAATTAAAAATTGTCAACAAAAGAACATACTAATAAATACTTCACGTCCTTTAAATTCGAATATTTGAGTTCATACTCACCATTTGTTTATATATTTGAGTTCAAATGGTAAAGAAAAGAAAACATCAGCTGTTGGCACAAGTGAAAACCTCAAATCTACAAACTTCTTTCATTTTAAAAAGATTACGGGTACATCACAAATGTCTTTGAAATGAAATATTGCCTATCAGCTGTGTCAAAAGGTTACTCTAATTGCCAATTAAAAGCAACATTCTTTGCAAACTAAATGCAATTTATTTCAGAAGTGGGACGTCATATGATATTTGAAGACAAAATAGTGTTTATAAATATTAATCATTTGTTTATTATAAATTATTTTGATTTGTATAAACTCAAGTTTGCCCTGATTTATAAAATACATTTTTGGGTGATGTTAAAATATTTTAAGTTTTCTGTTTTAGAAACGAACGTTATCTTTTTTTTTAATTCAATATCTAACGCAGTTGTCAGGGATGATAAAATAGGTATGCCAATAAAATATAACATCACACAAAAGTGTGAATTGTGTGAATTGATTTCTAAAAATTAATTTTAAGTATCACTTGATTTTATGAGATACTTAAATGCTATAAAGGCTATCAATCAGACTTACTTGGATGTAGACTACAAATAACACCAACAAAAATGCTGTATAATATTATTTTCAAATTAAATATGTATTTTTCTTCGAAATTAATAGATTTGCAATCCCTAAATTTGGCCAATCTCTCTGCATAATTATTGTGATATTTTATTTATCGTCGTTTGTATAGAACAACAAAAAACAGCCACAAAAAACAACTAAACACTCGGACAAGTTGGTCTTTTAAAAAATTCCAACAATCTATACCACACCTTGTGTAATTTTTGTGAATTCAAACAAGGTAATAGGGCTAACTCTCTTATATTTTTTTCATTATTTTGCTATTCTTGTGAGCAAGCTGTTATTGTTTGTATCACCTATCTCATTTTAATTTTATTTTTAATTGGAGGTGGGAAGTCCAACAGGGAGATTATATAAAGTGTGATTGACTTCTTTAAGTCTCCCCAATATATATAACTTATATAGCAAACTAAATTGTATTGTTGTCTATTATGTAGCCAATTAACTATATTATCATATCGTTGTATAGTATGTAAGGATATTAATTATCTTATTGATGTAGTATAAAATGTGGTTGGATTAATTATCATATCGTTCTATATTAATATGCGTACCATAAATTAGCGTATTGTTGTATATTATGTAACCCTATTATTGATTGTGATATTGTTGTATATTATGTGGGCCTATTAATAATTAATTATCAGTCTAAAAGTTGTCTGAAAGCAGAAAATGCTTCGATGCTCATCTTTTTGTGGAGTTTAAGCATGGTTATGTTGATAAACTAATTAAATAAACTTGCGGGTTTTAGTAACACCACAACACTTTATATAACTTAACACTATCTCCTTACCTACCCCTCTCTTTCCTTAAAAGCACAACATAATTCAAATAGGGAAGACGTACAAGTTAAGTTACGCTAAACCCATTGATTTGGGTCCCAGAAATGTCTCTGTATCGCAATGCTGTGTGGTTATTAAAAGGAATCCGAGAATATACAAAGTAAGTTTAATTTTAATAATTAATTAATTAACAATTTTATTTATGCTAAGGCCTGGAAGGGGGATAAGTAGTATTATACTATAAATTATAGTATAGTATACAATATAAATAAGTCATAAGGATACAGATTCTGGAATAAGTAAGTCTGGTAAATCACACACAGTATAACATTGACATAGTCATAGGAATAGCAGTGCAGACCTGTTTACCCCTGGGTTAGTCAGAGTAGTTTTCAGCCCACAAAAACATAGTTTGAAGCTCTAAAGACTAAATAAAGAGTAGTTTTGCACTTTCGGTTTTTAAAGGTGCTGTCGAGTGCTGTTGGGCATTATTTTATTAACACTACAAACTTAATATTGAATCAAAAAGGAATTAATTTATTATTATTATATTAGGCTTATAGAGTATAGAGCAGGGGTCTCAAACTCCCGGCCCGCGGGCCATTTACGGCCCGCTACCTGACAGCAAAGTTTAGTGTTAATGCGGCCTGCAAGTTTTCCCCATTCTCATATCTATAACGTGACAATCCGCGGCGGTTTCAATCGAATCTCACAGATTAATCTAATTCTGATTTTCATCATGTTTGTATAGATTTGAACGTTTATTATAATGGTAAAACCCGTTTTAAAATCGACTAAAAGTTTTTACTTTGTGCCATTTTATGAGACAAACAAAGTGCGGTTTTGAGAAAAGTTAAAAAAAGTCAGTTAGTGGGTAATGCACTGCAATAATTGTGTAAATCGTAACAATCTGACACAGTATCAAAGAATCCCTATTAAAATTGCTGCTAGTGTGTACGCGTGAGGAATATTCCGAGCTGTCAGCTTGGTCTCTTTCAAATTAGGGTTTGTCAAAAAGCCCTTTTCTACGATAAGAAAATCAAAATTCATTCTCTCTACAATAACATCTTCCTTCGCATCAATAATTCATAAATATTGCCTGCTCCTGCCTACTGTCTGAACTTGAACATGTTTTAGTCTTTAAAGTTTTCATGGAGAAGGTTGGGGTGGTTGTTCCTGTACTAAGTGATCCCAAGTGGCTCATGGACTTGGCTCTTCTTGTTGACAAGAGCTGAATGTACTCAACAAGAAGTTACAATAGCTTGTCAGTGTGTTGCCAATGACAATGTCAGGGCATTCTGAACAAAACTTGTATTATGGTTCTTAGAGCAACCTCTGCCATTTCCCAACATGCAAAGTACGCATGGACTCTGGCTCAATATTCAGGAGTAACTTAGTAGTAAGTATACTGATGCCATTGCAAAGCTACAGAAAGAATATGATCACATGTTTTTAGAATTAAAAAACACACACAGCCACTTTTCAGCTTTTTGCTGATCCTTTATCCTTTTATGTGGAAAATACCCCCCCCCCCCTTTTTTTTTTTCCTTTTCAAATGGAGCTGATTGATCTTCAGTGCAATTCTAAGTTCAGGGAGGTGAATAGAATAACAGACAAGCATAGAAAATTATGAGAGCATTGCCCTCCACCTCCACTGAGATCTCCAGGTTGTACAAGCGGATCATACAGTTTTTTGGGAGTACCTATCTGTGTGAAAATCTCTTTTCCACTGTGAACTTCAACAAGTCAAAGTTCAGGGCCAAACTTACTGATGAGCTTCTTCAAGATATACTGAGGGTCTTAGTTGCTTCCTCACTGTCCGCGGAAGCAAAGCGTCTCTGCGGAAACTTGGGGGCGTCCACATGGGGTTTTGCCTCTTCGTGGCGTGGCAGAATAGTAGGGAGGTTTCCTCCCGAAGCTAAAAAACCCCGGCCACTGCATGATTCCCAACGCAACGGGAGGAACGCAATAACATGATTACTTGTTGCCGTTAATGGATATGAGGTCTGGGTGGCGGTCAAAACCCTTGCCGATGATCTTAGATATGCGGCCCTGAGAAAGCCGCTCCTAGGCGACCGTTTCGTCCCCACTTACGTCCCAACCAGACAACTCCCTGGACGGTTTGGGGGGGGGGGGAGGTAACGCAACACCTTTCCCCCAGAGGGGAAGCGAAGCTGTTCAGACCCAAGGAGAGGGGACCGGGAGCGCTTTAAACGCAGCATTTTCAGTCGCCTGGACGTCCCCCAGCCAAGGGGGGTCTGAGAAAGCCGCTCCTAGGCGACCGTTTCGTCCCCACTTACGTCCCAACCAGACAACTCCCTGGACGGTTTGGGGGGGGGGGGGAGGTAACGCAACACCTTTCCCCCAGAGAGGAAGCGAAGCTGTTCAGACCCAAGGAGAGTGGACCGTGAGCGCTTTAAACGCAGCATTTTCAGTCGCCTGGACGTCCCCCAGGCCAGGGGGGAGGTTCCTAACATGCTTCCAACACGGCCTGGCGGTGGGGAGACCCAGCGTCGGCCCGTGTGGGGGTGTGCCGGGGGGAGTATTAAGAGCTCGCGCTAGACGACCCAACGATGTCATTTCCAATGTGACGTTATTAGTTGCTTCCTCACTCAAGCCAAAGTTGCTCAGAAGAAGCACTGGCACTGCCAGATATCTGGCAACAATGAGTAGGAGGAAAATGAAGCCTAGTTCTTGAGAACCCTTAATGTTGTTATTTGTTATTTATAAAGGTTTAGCAGATTGTAACAGTTGTACTTTAATGAATTAGTAATCGCTTCTTTTGTGGAATACTTGATGCAGCCCAGTCTCACTCAAACTCTACCTCCTGTGGCCCCCGGGTGATTTTGACCCCTGGTATAAATGGTCCTATATCATATAGACCAGTATCCTATTTATACCTTATTAATATAGTAGGGATAATAAAATAAACCTATGCCTGACTTCAATAGACTTCAGACTAAGTCTACAAAGTGCGGAAGAAGGTGTATCAAGAACATTTTGAACAATGAAAATTGAAATGGTTGCATATTTAGGGTTAATTTATGCATTATTACTATTATTAATATTAGTGAACTAGGAAAAAATAATTTAACAACATAACTTAGGCCTTCAATTTTTTTAAAGGCCAGATGTTATATTGTAGATTTTTAAAAAGGCTGTTAGTATTACTAAGTTAACTAACTACTGAATTACTGTACTGCGGTCACGTATCGTATTTGTATGTTAAATGTTTAAAAACCAAATTCCTCCACTAATATCAATGTTATCATGTACTATTAATTCAAAATGACATTTTTATTTTTTTGTTATCAGAGGTGGTTATCAGTCTGCCAGCAAAAGTTTCAATGCTACGGACCTAGATGTTAACATCAACCAGCGTAGTTACATGGTGACAGGGGGAAACAGTGGTGTCGGCAGAGCAACTGCTCTAGCCCTAGCCAAGAAAGGTCACAGTGGCTTTCATCTATAGTTGCAGGTTCTTTATTTTTAAAAAAAGTATTAAAAGAAAAATCAATATTAAACATAAAATTAATTTTTTTTTTTCCTCATAATAGTGTTGTTAGACTAGTTATCTGCTAGAACATCTCCTAAACACTGCCAAGTCAGTGATTTCACTTGGTGCCCTCTAAGCAACCAATAATTTTTTTTTTTCTCCAATCATTAAGAAGTTGTGAGGAAGAGTTGACGCGTGGTTGCATTGGGGCAAGTTACTCTACCTCATGTGTTGTGTTACCGGTATTTGAAATATATTTTGAACACAAAAAGAAAAATTCCGAGCCAATAATAAATTTAAAAACTAAAAAATTTTGTAATAAAAATATTTTTTTATGCAACATTTTTCACATTTCTTATTAGGGGGAACAGTGCACATTGTATGTCGAAACCAAGAGCGTGGTGAAGCAGCACTTAGTGATATAAAGACACAGTCGGGCAATCAGGTGAGAAAATGGGTGCTGCAGGATTTATGATTGGGTGAAAAAATAAAGTCTTGCCACTCCTGTCATATCTGCTTATCTGTTGTGTGGCCAAGGTGGTTTTAAAACTCACCGTAACAACCCCCCCCCCCCTTTCCCCCTAAACCGGATGACTAGATGGTCCTCGTGATTTATGATTGGGTTAAAAAATAAAGTCTTGCCACTCCTGTCCTATCTGCTTATCTGTTGTGTGGCCAAGGTGGTTTTAAAACTCACCGTAACAACCCCCCCCCCCCTTTCCCCCTAAACCGGATGACTAGATGGTCCTCGTCGATGTTGACGGACGAACAACAACAAAAAGCTGCTTGTATTAACCTAAGCCTGCCACTTACCTTGAAGGAAAGGCAGGAGTCTTAGAAACTAGTCAGCATGGGATTTTCCAAACCTATGCTCCTGTGTCACAGTAAACTGTCGTAAAAACTGTACATTTTCCTTCATCTTGAGGTCAGATCTGTTTTAATCAGCATGTAGATATTTATGGAAATAATTGAAACAAAGTATGGGAAAAACCTGAAGAAAGGAACACCCCAAAACAATGAATGTGTCAACATAAAGCCTTCATCAGGGAAAACACAACAGTAAAAACAGAATTAAATCAAAATAACACTAAGCTGAGATGTAGTATCAGAAAGGGCAGAAAGAGAATTGTGACAGAAAATAAGTAGGTGAGTAAGTAAATACAGACTAAAAGGTACAAGAAAGAAAAGAGGAGACGTAAGTCCACTGTAGATTTTTATGTAGGCTACACTGACCTTTTTAAAGTTTTTCAGCTATGATATCTGAGAAGAGAGTTGTAGACTGTAGAATTCTGATTAGATAACAATTATATTGTCACTGTTCCAAAACAACAACCGCTCCTACAGGCTATAAATCATAAGGCATACTTTTAACAAAATAATTACAATTTAGGTACATTTTCATTGATAATTCAATTTTAACTGACATTATATCCTAATGTAAAGCAATTAAATTATTGTTATAAGGCACCACACTTACACATTAAAAAATGTATGTAATTAAAATTATTAATTTTGACAGAATGTCTTTTTGCATCTTCTTGACATGTCTAAACCAAAAGACATCTTGGCCTTTAGCGAGAAATTTAGAAGTAGTGGCTCAACTCTGAATGTGTTGGTGGGTATTTTGTTAGAAAAATTTGAATGACATAAAAAGTCAGTTGTATAAAGCATTGATTAAATCAGGGAAATGGAAAGAGGGAGGTGATAAGTCTGATATTTCGATATTGATATATCTGATATTTAAATATACTTTCTCATACCATTGTATGATATCTCTGGAGAAATTTCAATCTTTCATGCATTAATATTTTCACTGATAAATGTTTAATATTTTTAACATTCATATTGCTTAGTTACATTAATACTCTTAATAAATGTTATGCTACATATTTTTTACTTTAACTCTAATGTGTCTTTCAAATCTTTAGATAAATAATGCAGGAATTTTGGCAGGAGACAAAAGAGAGGTAACTGAGGATGGACTAGAGGTGACTTTTGCAACCAACACTCTGGGAGTTCACATGTTAACTAAAGGACTGATTCCGGTACTTGAGAAAGCAGAAGACCCAAGAGTTGTAAGTATAAATTTGTTACTTTTCAATGTTTTTTTAAAAAATATTGTCAAACATTAAATGCATAAAATATTATATTTTGAAGGTATGTATGGTTCAAAACACAGATTAAAGAAATTTTTCAGTAGTTATTTTGGTAAATATATTTTGAATTAAGCATGCAAATAATATTTAAAAATTAATTGTAACAGATTATTGTGTCTTCTGGTGGGATGTTGGTAGAAAAACTGGACTTGAGTGACCTTCAATTTGAGAAAATGTCTAAATTTGATCCAACAATGGCTTATGCTCAGACTAAGAGGCAAGAAGTTATAATGGCGGCAATGTATGCCAAGAAATATATCAAAATTCATTTTTCTAGTATGCACCCAGGTTGGGCAGACACTCCTGGTAAGTATCAAACTCAAGACAAATTGACTTAGTTTATGGATCTATCTAATTTTAGACATTGTAACAAGCATATCTTTGTTTTTAATTTTCAACAAATGTGTTCATGCTAACAGCAATCAGTCCTCCCTTTCAATGTAAATATTATTTATATGTGTTTATTTTGTTAAAATTAAAAATTCTTAATTATTTATGAAATGGGAAAAAACTGTTGACTTGACTACATTATGGTCCTATCAATTCATTGCCAATAGAAATAAAATAACTTTGTGCTGTTATAAACCAATTTTAAACCAATATTACAGGAGTTCAGAATTCATTACCAGACTTTTATAACAGAATGAAAGATAGACTTAGGAGTGAAGATGAAGCTGCTGATACCATTTTGTGGTTGGCCATTGCCCCCGCTGCTGTAAAACATCAGAGTGGACTGTTTTTTCAAGGTGAAATATTTCTGACTTGCTTTTGCTATGTATGATGCTATTTCATCAGATTGTTTATATCAGTGACAGACAGTGTTTCATGTGGTTCTTTATATGCTTTAATTAAGTTGACCCTTTTAGTGTAAGTCAGTGAGTTTATAAACCATCTTTTTACATGAAATCATTCAGATTATTGTTTCCTCAGATCGCAAACCTGTTCCTACTCACCTGCCTCTAGCATGGACCAAATCAAGTCCAGAGGATGAACAAAAATTATTGGAAAAACTGGATGAAATTGCAGAGAAATTTTGAAGTTTTTCCAAAGCAAACTGGATTTGATCAGCATAAATATATTTGAGTTACAACTGTTAGGTCAATTAATAAAATGTTTTTGTTTTTTTTATGTTCATATTCTACCTTGGTGTCACAACTATTTTTGGGAGCAATATATTTATGTTAAAAATTTGAATGTGTAAAGCACCTAATTCATGATATATTTCTGCTATGTAAAGTAACAGTTCATTAATTTAAAAAGAAAAATGAAGTGAACAGTGCCAATTATGGTGTATGGATTTTCATGTGCAGATTTTTGGATTTTAAAAATGTAAGTGTTAATTGTCTTCTAATATCTAGATAGAATTAATATCTATATAGAATTTAGTTTATTTATCCTCATGTTATATGAAGAATCTCAACATTAAAAATGTTTTTGTTAAAACTTGACATAATTTCACTAATTCAATGACCTAAGGAGATAGTTTGATCTACTAAAAATGCCCCTGAAACATTTTAAGTCACCTAGCACTGACTGATGATATTTAATAATCATGCATGCAGCTTTAAAAACAAATAAAAACAAAACTGAGAAAGAAAAAAAATTATGTGCTCCATGATTTCAATAATAATAGTTTTCAAAATTAAAACTGAAATTTTTTTTTTAATAAAAAAAGGATTTATACAGGATGTTTTTATTAATTTTATTTCCCTTACTGAGTTGTTCATAATTTGCTGTAACACTACTGCATTCCTAATAAACTTGTTAAAAATGCATACATTTATTAGATGTTTGTAATTTTTGTATTCCAGTTTTCGGTTAAGACAAATGAAAACTCTTTTTTGTTGCATTATTGTTAGTTACAAAAAATAGAATTGTTAACAATTAAGTTTGGTAACATTTACTAAAATTCAACTATCATTATCTGTATTTATAAAAAGGTTTCTTTTCCTTTTTAATTCTGTGTATAAATCATGAAAAAAAAATTTGTTGAAGAAACACATGAATCATAGAGTGCTAAAAATAATCTCAGTGGTTCTGAATCTCACTTATGGTTCAAACTGAGAGAAAAAGCAACTTGTCTACTCACCATATTGTGTGAAATAAACAAGGGGGGGATGAAAACTTTACACTAAATAAGCTAAGCGATAACCAGGATCTTCTGGTTGGTAAGTTAAAAGAAGAAAATCAGTCTTCTAATTTAATTATTCTTGAAGTGGTGTATGACTAAGAGGTTTGAAATACACAACAAAATTCTCTTAAATCTGAGGACCATTCTCTCAGATTCTCTTAATGAGAAAAAACTTGATAAGCAGGTCTTGCAGGCCCATGAGGCGCCCTTGATCCCCCGTTTTTTTTTTAAAACTGGTACTGCAGCCGTCTGTGTCACTCACGTTACCTTCCTCATCCTGAAATTTATCATTCTGAGTTGAATTCGGAGGCAGAGGAAGGGAAGCAGCAGGGTGGAGCTTTGGGGGTGGCAGACAGGAAATAGGGGCTTTGTCGTGGGAATGGGAAAGAGGAAACATTGATGAAGGCAGAATGGAGGTGCCAAAGTGGTGGGTGGTGTTTTCACCACAGCTCGAGGGAGCTCCACCCCCGGACCCCCCCTTCCGGGGCCCCCAACCTACGCTCCATTCTTAGGGCCCCCAAACTCCTAAGAATGGCTCTGGGTCTTGCTATGAATGTCAAAGCTATTGAACTGGTAATGTTGGAGATATATTAAAACTATTAAATTATTGTGTCACTTGCTAAAGATAACTGACATAAAATACAACATATATATATATGCATAACATGTATGTATCACATCCATTTTCATGTCACTTTATTTACATGGTGGGATGGAATCCATGAAACAACAACACTTTGAGCTTTGCATGAAGTAATTTCACAGTAGCATGCGTGCACTCTAATCAAACTCATTGAATGCTACATATAAAAATGATAACATATGGCTCAGATGTCATGTCGCATACATTTTAGAAATCAAATGTTCCCATGGTTCAAGGTCACTGTCACTTAAGATTATATTGTTATAGCATGTGTGACTCACAACAAGATGTATATTTCAGAAAGCATTAACAATTTTAACAGTGTGTTCTCCACAGGGCAATGTTATTGTTGCCAGTTCTCTAGCATCTTCTTATTCTTGAGCAGAGGTTTTCTATTATTTTTTTTTTTAACATTATGCTGTACATGATAAACATATTTAATTGTTCAATAATTTTAAATCTAAGAAAATTAGATAAGGATGAGAGTTGATTACTCTACCTAAAATAAAAAACACAACATCAAAACAAAAAAAGCACATAATAAATGTGTTGATTAAGTGATATTTGAAAGTTTGATGATGTCCCAAATGTGGAATTTACCCATCAAGTAATAACTTGAAAAATATAAATGAAACAATTATTAACAATTTGTCATTTGCACACATTTACATAGATTAAATCATAGGTTCTCAAACTATGAAAATAATGTGCCACTTAAATAATCTGGTACAATTACCCTTGTGTGTACCATCATGAACATTTGTAATTCAAACCGAGTATTACAGTATGCATATTTATTTATTTAGGCATTTTTATATAGCGCTTACCTTAAAGCTCTAAGCGCTTTACAATTAATTATTAAAAACATGTAAACTAAGTAAAATAAAAATGAGACACTAGGATAGTAACTACTATACTATAGAAACAATTAAAATGGCTATAAAACGAGGACACTTTGGCACGTTTTGGCCTATACTACAGGATCAACCCGAGACAGAAAATGAGGCAGGGCAAGGAGGGTGCATCACAGGTCATAGGCGGACCTAAACAGATGGGTTTTAAGGGACTTTTTTGTGTATCACATGCAACAACGTAGTTTACCATAAGATATACGTGTTTCATAGATTGAGAATCACTGATCTAAATGACACAAAAACATCATCATTAGTGGCGCTACAGCCCATGTAGGGCCTTGGCCTGCTCCACCACATCCTTCCATTTGGAGCGATCCATGGCTTTCCGCCTCCATGCGCGAACCCCCAACTGGTGTAAATCCGTCTCCACATCATCGATCCATCTCAGACTTGGGCGACCTGTGAGTCGTCTGGCCCTTGGCTTCTGCATGTATATAACTTTTGCCTAGCTACTCTCCGACATCCTTCTTCTTCTTCTTCTATATCTTAAGGGCCCACGATCAATTTATTGATCAACATGTCCTGCCCAGCGTAGTCTGCCTTTTTTATCATTGTGACTATGGGTGGGTCTTTGTACAAATGGTCAAGCTCTTGGTTTGTACGGATTCTCCAGATATTTTATATCACTGGAGCCTATATTTTTCGCAGGATTTCCTCTCCCGTGTGTTGTGCAGGTTCTCTGCTTTTCTGGTAAGAGTCCAGGTCTTACTAGCGTACATTACTACCGGTCTTATAATAGTGGTCTATATTGTCTTCTTTGTTCCCCTTGAGAGGTTTTTGCTTCTCAGTAGCTTTTGTAGGCTGAAATAGGAAAGGTTGCCTGCTGTTATCCTTTCTTTCACCTCCGACTTTATCTCATTGTGCTCGTTTATAGTTTCCCTACTCCCTAGATCAGGGGTCGGGAACCTATGGCTCGCGAGCCAGATGTGGGTCTATTGATGGCTGCATCTGGCTCGCAGACAAATGTCTTCTTCTTCTTTATTTTGAGGGCCCACGATCATACTGGCTCCTATGTTTCAGGGGGGTTCACGGTGTTACTGTGCATGGGTTCGATTATAAAAAAAAAAAAAAATGTTTCTTTAGACTCTTTTGATTAGCAACAGCATAAAAATGTCATTAAAACGATTTCAGAAACATAATTATTGCATTTTTAGTGTTGATCTTACACAAAATGCACACATTTACTTGAATTTTTAGTTTTAAACATAATGTATGGCTCTCACAGAATTACTTTTCAAAATATGTGGTGTCCATGGCTCTCTCAGACAAAAAGGTTCCCGACCCCTGACCTAGATATTTGAATGTAGCCACTCTCTCAAATTTGTGGTTAAATTGTTTATGTTGATGTTATCATCCGCATGAGAGTTTCTTGACATTATCATATATTTTGTCTTCGGTTCATTTATATCAAGACCAGCTTTGACTGAGGCATTTTCAAGTTCCCTGAGTGGTTTATAATTATGTCATTACGGTTTCTACCCAGTAGCGCTATATCGTCTACATATGCCAGGAACTGCAATGGTTGGCTATATAAGGTTCCTGATGGTCGTTGTTCTATAATACCTCTCTGGAAGTAATTTGTTATAGTTTCACTGGTGCTCACGTGTATGCTTATAATACATTTTTCTAGCGTGATGTTAAACAGGATACATGAAAGCGAGTCTCCTTGTCTGAGGCCTCGATAAACTGGGAACTCCTTTGAGTATTCTCCCTGAACCTTGATTCTACTTTTAGAGTTGGCCATTGTCATAAGTCTGAGCCGAGTAAGCTTGTTAGGGACTCCAAGTTCTTGTAGAGCATTGTATAAGTAATTCCTGTTTACGCTATCGTATGCTGTTATGTATCCACATATGTGTATGTCGATGTTATATTCGTAATATTTCCCCAGGAGACATCTTATAGCAAAAAATACGATTCGTGGTTGACCTATTCTGCCGGAATCCGCACTGATAGTCCCCTAGGATCTGTTCACTATACTTTTCCAGTTTTCTCGCTATAAGTTTTGTGAGGGTTTTCTACATTACACTAAGAAGGGAGATTCCTCTATAGTTTGAGCAGATCAACTTAGATCCTTCTTTGTGAATTGGGATTATGAGTGCCGTGTCCCATTCAATTGGCATTTCTTCCTCCTGCCAGATTCTGGATATAAGTTCGTGCATTTGCCTATGCAGTTCGTTACCACCTAGCTTTATCAGTTCTGCAGAGATAAGATCTATTCCTGCGGGGCTTTGTTATTTTTCATGGTGGAGATTACAACTTTTATTTCATTCAATGTTGGTTGTTTGACCAGTGGGTCCGGTCCTCATTGTGGCGGAGTGTAATCCTCATTGGTTCCTCCATCTGAGCCATTCAGTAAACCTTCAAAGTGTTGTGCCCATCTCTCCAGTACTCTATTGCTCTCTGTGATCAATTCTCCATCCGTACTTTCACACATGTGGGATCTTGCTTGAAAGCCATTCTTTTCCTGCTTTATTTTCAGTTACATTCTTGCTTCATTATATAATTGCCGTGTTCTTCTTGTCTCTCTTTGCAGCATCATTAGCCGAGCTTTGTTTCTTTGTTCTATAATATGTTCTTTGCATTCTGCGGCATACCATCCTGTTCTTTTCACTGCTGGTTTAAATCCAATCGTTTACTGTGCTACACTTTTAACTATTTGCTTCATCTTTTCCCATTGCTGGTTTGTATCAACGTTGCTGGCTGATTCTCTTTTGGATAATTCTACTAAATTCTAGTTGAGTTTCCTCAGTAATTTTGTTTTTTTTTCTCTTTTATTTTGTTTCTTGTGGATGTTACAAAGTCTTTGTTTATATTTGATTCTAACAAGCATGTGGTCTGAGTCTATGTCTGCCCCTAGACAACTTTGCACATCTAATATGTCCGAGTCATGCCTCCGGTCGATGAGTACGTGGTCTATTTGATTACGGGTAAATCCATCTGGAGATATCCATGTCACTTTATGTATTTGTTTATGTTGGAATACTGTGCTACTGATTGTCATTCCTTTTCCTGTAGCGAAGTCTATGAGACGTGTTCCGTTGTCATTGCTCTCATCATGCAGATT